TTGCAGACAAATCTGTGAACCCTTAATTTAAGAAATGTGTAATTCTGGGTCTGTATTTACTGAGTAGATGGTGTGTTGGGTAGCCATCGCTATTCAGATACTGCAGCACTGAATTTAGGTATGGACTTGTATTTGTAGTGTCTGGTATCTAAATGTTTCTGTATGTTGGATGACTGAGATTTGTGGTTGCTGCTCAGCTGTCATTCAGCTAAAATTTCCCAGGCAGTGATGTCAGCCACAGGAGAAAGCTCTTCTCAAAATACTTTCCCACTCTAAGACAAAGCCCTCATATTTTAAACATTTTAAAAGAGGGTTTAAAATATTCAAGTATTGTGATTTAAAAAATATATATATATTTTGTTCTGAACTGGAGAATTGCATTCTGTGCATCTGAAGAGCACAGAGCAGATTAATGGTGAAAGAAAAATGATGTCAGTTTCTAGTATAGAGCCAATTCTGCTGGTTTGGTCACACAGATGTAACTCTAACAAGAGCTGGGTTTTCTCCTGGAGGCTCAAGAAATGTAAGATATGCACCTCTGCTGTCATCCCCTGAAGGATGAGAAGCTTGTCCTACTGATGCCCATCTTGTGGGTACAAATGCTCTGCATTAGGTATCTCAGATTCACATTTTCTCCCAGCATCAAACTGACACATCCTGTAATGCTCTTCTCTTTTTCTTTCAGAAAATAAGGCCAGACATTGAGGTACCTGAAGTACGTGAAAAAACAAATTCTGAAGTGCCTAATGCTGCTGTGACTGTCACAAACAACTCTGATTTAAATGACTCAAGGGAGATAAACTTTGAGTACCTTAAACATGTTGTACTAAAATTCATGTCCTGCCGGGAGTCTGAGGTAAAGAATCCTAGGAAGACGGGTTGGTACGCTCGTCTTCTCATCTCTGGTACCTGGCAAGAATGCCTCTATGCCAGCTCAGTATTTTTGCATGTGAAAAGAAATTGACTGAGTGAGGCAGCGCAATAAAGCAAAACAGCAGCGTGTTTGGGAGTACAGATCATTAGGAGCTAAGTGAAAAGTAGGAGGTAGTTATGTCTAGAAGTTAAAGAGCTGAAACTGCTCTGTACTATTCTAAAAAGCATATGGAGTATATGTGATTATAAAGTAGCTGTATGTTTAAGAAAGATAGCAACAGAAACCAGAAAGGACATAAAGCACATGCTGTTGAGGTGTCATAAGAGATAATTCCTTGTGCACGTGAAGCTCCTTTATATTCTCTAAGTTGTGTTGAAAAGGTTACAGGTAGAAAGAAGTCATGCCAAAATATGCTTTTCTTAACTGTAGGTCAAGACAGTAGGTAGGATGAAGAAATAATTGTGCAGCTCCGTGGTATCCAGAGTGTTTGACTCCTTTAGTAGCTCTGCATGATGTATCTTAGTGCTGTGCAGTCGGTACGTTGTGTATGTAAAGCAGCATGATTCTGACCTGTCTGCATGCTGCTACAACTTTTTAGAACTTAAAAACAATTACCACAGGATGCTGTAGGGAAAATATGCAAGCTGAAGAAAGCTAGGAAATGCAATCAGAAGAAGAAAGATACAGGCTGCCCTGGTCCATTGTAAGAGGGCATAGGGAAAGGTTTTACTGTTCTGCTCTTTGCAGTTGTAACTAAAAAGTCTGTGACTAAGCCTGCAGAAAAAGTGTTGCACTGTAGTCCAGAACACAGAGGCTGAGAGCATCATAAGCACTGTGGTTTCTTTCAGGCATTCCATCTTATTAAGGCTGTATCTGTTTTACTGAATTTTTCCCAAGAGGAAGAAAATATGCTTAAAGAAACATTGGAGTACAAGGTAAGGATTCTGTTGCACCTGTAACCTATAATTGGACTTGCAGCAAAAGATGTGAACGCTCTTAGATGCTGGGAGGTGCTGAAAAGTAGCTGTTCCTTCCAGATTTAATCATGTGAAACAATTTGCATTTTCACAATCTGAACTCTGCAGAGTTCTGTTTTATAAATAGTTTCCATCACTTGATGGGGAGATGCAGATATACTGTGCTCTTGTTCCAGTCTCCAGCTTCTTGTAAGTGCGAACCTAGCATGGTATGTATTGTGCTTTCCTGTCCTAGATGTCATGGTTTGGGTCAAAGCCATCTCCTAAAGGCAGTATCCGGCCCTCTATCTCAAGCCCAAGGACGCTGTGGTCTTAAGGGATCCTGAAAACGGGCAGTCAGCATCTAGCCACTGTTTTTTCTGTGAAAAGAACACTGAACACACCACTTCAGGTGTGTCTTAATCACTGTCATTGCAGTATTTTGTACAAGAACTTTGACACTGTTTACAAAAGTAATGCTGTGCAAGGAGAAACTTTCACTACAAACTGACACCTCTTGCGGGCTGGGATCAGGGACCTTTGTCTGGATGGTCTCTCAATGGGAGTCAGCTCCTTGTGCTCACCAGACCTGTTATCTTGGCACCAAAGGATAACGTTAACCTCACTGACGAGGGTGCTGGCAGTTGGAGCTTCTAATGCACGCACCTGCTATGGTGGTGATTCCAGCTTATGTTAGGAGTGCGAGGGTTGAATAACTGCAGACACAGTAAAGCTTCCTTGTCTCATTGTGGAAAGCAGTGGGGAAAAAATTGTTGGCAATACTGTGCTGAATTTTTGACAGTTTGAAATGACTTTCAAAGGACAGGAGCAGGAGCTTTAACCAAAAAAGAAGTTTGCCTTGCCTTGTTACACTGACATAACTAATAGTCTGCATCTTTTCATATCACTGTGTAATATAAGGTGCATATATCCTGGCCTGCAGTCTTGAAGGCTGCACATTGATCATGATTATTTAATTTGAGAGCACAACTTTAGAGTTGTTTACTGATTTTACTTTTCTTAAAGAAAAATAATATTTAAAATGGTCTTAATTATAGTACCTAATACTCAGTCGCCTTGAAAACCAATCTGTTAGTCTGTACCATGGGTTGTTAGCACTGGGAAGAAGGGGTAGTAAACCATTTTAAATTTTTAAAACTGATTTCCAGGTATTGTAAGTATACACTGAAAATACTTTTTATAATGAAAAAGAAAACAGAAAAAAGATTGTATGTATATATATATACACCTTGAAAGAGCGTGACTAATATTGGTACTAAGCACTTTGGGCTTTCTTCCTTAACAAGTCTGCTAGCAACAAGCTTTCATAACCAGCATCTTTTGTTGTGGTTTTGTAGTTCAGATGCCGTTGCTTATAGCTGTTCTGAGCACTTAGTGGCTGTGACCTGTGTCTGACTACCTGACAAAAGACCACGGCTTAGGAGGCTTTTGTTTTTGAGGGCAAAACTGAACTCTTCACAAATCAGTCTTGGTTCTGCCTTAGGAAAAGGGAACTCAGCTGACACAGTTTTGCCCTTCAGTTTTAACGCCACCACAAAATCTAGATGAATATAGGAAGCAGCAATCAGGCTTACTTCTTAAAACTTGGATATATATCTATATATAAGAAATGCAATGCTGCTATTCTGGTAGTTCTTTTACAATGAGATTTGTGTTACTAACAAAGGTTTTTATTCAATATGTTAAGAAAAAAAATTCTACCTGTCCTGTAGTGGAGATGCAGTCACGTTCAGAGTCTGACTTAGCTCTGCTGACAGTGAGCGACCTGGGTGGTGGTGGCAGGTGAGACACAGTGTTAGAGTTGCAGCAGAGCTGCTGTGAAGAGATGGAAGCGTTCTGCACGAGGTCAGCAGAGCAGCACACGTGGGGCACATCTGCCGCAGGGGCCGGGCCTGTTTTTGAGGCAGCCGCTGCCTCGGCTGGCGTGGCGCTCCTGTTCAGAGCTGGCATCTGCTGAAGTACACTCAGTAACATCAGCAGCACTCGTACACTGAGACTTGATCCGTGACACTTAACTGTACAGAATAGGGAAGTTTAGGGTAAGAGTGCAACTCCAATATGAAAATAGACAATCAAAAAGTAGATTTGTTGGTTGTTCCTGTATTGAAACAAAGCAGGGGCAGGATAACCCTCCTGGGCCTCAGAAGGGTCTTTCTTTGGAGCGTCTCCTTGCCCTGACCTGCTTCTGTGTGACCTGAGGCCAGAGGGTAGGATTCTCCCTCATCACACTGCTGCAGGCTGAGGGACAAATTTGGTTTGAGTTGTGCCTGGCTTGAACGGTTACTGCTGTACAGTAATGAATGCAGTGCAGGCAGCCTGCAAGACAGAGTGATGCATAAATTTTAATTATATATTGACTAATGCAAACAGTGTAGCATCCCAAAGCTCATACTTACCCAAAGCTCACTAACTTACCATAAATGAGTTCTCAAGTGTTGAATTTTCTTCAGATACCAGAGCAAGAATGGTGTGTGTGTGTATGTATATATGTACATATATATTAAAAAAAAAGCTAATGCACTTTCCCTTGTATAAAAACAGTGGTATACACAATCCTTTCTATGGCTGTTGAATTTCTTTCCTTCTATGCTGTAAATATGGATTGTATTATGAAACACTATGAAATTTGTGGTGCAATATGTTTTGGATTAAAACTCTAATCTTGATTTCTTTCTTCTTCTTTGTCGTCCTGATTGTGTCCACTGGGATGCTACAGCTATTTGAAACAGTTTTAAAGCATTGAAGCAAAACTTATCTTTGACCTGTGCTAAGATTGTAGTTGTGAGATTAAGGCCTGTTTCTCATAGGGAATTAGGCCAGGAATGAGGTAGGGTGCTTCTGCCTCCTGAAATCATCTCTAGGGGCAGCTGCTACTTGCACTCTTAGCAGGTGCTAAATCCAGGCTGGCTGGATTACAGCCTCCCTTTGCAGCTGTGTCAGTTGGAAGCAGGGCCCAGGCTGTGTGCAGCCAAAACCAGGGCACTGAGCGAGGCTGTTGGAGCAGCCAGCACAGCTCAGTTTGAAGACAAAGTTTGGAAGGAGTTGGAAGTGAGTGCTCATGCAGAGGTGGGCACTTAGCTTAGAAATGCTATTACTGCAGGCTGATTTTTGAGTGTCGTATTTAAGAGTAAGCCAAAAACTGCCTTAACTTGTATGATCCAAGAACTTTATTGATGCAGCAGGCACTTTACAATGAAACCAACCCCATGGTCCAGCTGTCCTCTGACTGTATCTCTATATATACACACACATATATACAAAATCATCTTGCTAATAAACCCTTCTCCCATTCATAAACCGTCAGAACCTTGCATCTGTGAAGACCATCGCTCCCTCTTAAATAAGCAGTACAGACAGGATCTTGGATCACCACACTTTGATAAAGCAACATCTGAGAATACCTGCTCGCTTTCAGTAGTAGGAGGCAGGAGTTTGCCTTCTCTCTGCCTTAAAAGAAGCAATCAGGAGAATGTCTTGGCTCCTGTATGTGATAGTCAGAATATACAGGAATACCTTTACTCTTTTCCCACTTCAATGTTAAAAGCAGTCCAAGAGGAGGTTTCCATAGTATTTCAGTAGATTGCAATCTCTAATCAAGAAGGACCAGCGTCATTTCAGCTACTTCTTCTTCTGGGTCCAAAACCGATGGTTGCCTTGGTTTGCATTAATAGTCTTTAAACAGTCTTTCTTGCTGTAAGAACTCTTACTATGGAACCTAGTCCACCTACTGCTAATGCCTGTGGGTGAGAGAAGGAGACAAGATCAGTGTTACAGTCGCACAGCCAGTGGCTCTCATAGGCTGCGCCTCACTCTTTTGTTCTCAAAACCTAAAAACAGTTACTTGTGGAAAGCAAAGAAGTTTTTTTCCCAGAACATGCAGACATTAGACTTGTTTCAAATAGTTATAGATACTCAACTTCACTGCACAGCATCAGGTTTCCATGATAAAACCTTCACTGCTCTTCACAGCCTGCAGGGCTGGCAGTGGTTCTGCCGGTACGACTGTTCCGTCACACGAAACACGCACTGTGCTGGTTAACTCCTAAGCCATTTTCTATGCTAATTGCTACCACCAGAGCAGGAAATTCAGTTCTCACGTTGTTCCACCCCTCCATGTCTGTGCAGGTGCCTTCTGCACGGCTTACACCTTCAGCTTCCTGCAGTAGTAAGTTCTATGTCCACACGCTTATTCCTTTGTCATGTTCAGTTCCTTACCTGTTCCTGTCCTGTGCCATGATCTTGGGAACTCTATGCCCCCTATCCTCTGTGGACTTACACAGATGAGTGCCTTCTTTGACCCAGGCCTTAGTGGTACGTAGGCAGTACTGCTCTATAAATGCAGGAAGCGAGGAAACGAAGGGCAAACAAAACATGGCAAAACATCCCACTAAATGTGAAGGTTAAAGTACGTTCTCCAAAACCTTACATGCATCTAGATGACTTGCATCTAGTGAAGGACAGGGTGTCACTGATGATGCAGAATGCCTCACCCCCCTTCTGTTCCTGAATGAAGAAAGGAGGAAGGGCTTGGTGTGGTTTCATTTGCACCCTTAATGTAAATGAGACATCTTTCTAAAGTCAAGGAGAAGGATGCAAGGACTGCTCAGATCAGTGCCAGACCTGATGGACACAGATGGCACTGGGCCATTCCAGGGGACAGGCAGCTGAGCTGCGTGTCCTACCTGTGCTGCTGGAAAGCAGCGCCCAGCCCACTGCAAACCTGTCATGTTCCTTTCAAAACGAAGAGATGCTTGCATGTGTCTACATGTTCTGGGCACTGACTTCTTTCCAGTCAGGGCAGTCTTGTGTAATGTTACATACTGGGAGCATCAACCTGTGGTGACCCAAAAACAGTCTCCAGTGGGAAGAACGCCACAAAATGTCAAGTATGTTCCTTCCTGGGAAATTTTCTCCTCCTCCTGCCCATCAATATTCCACAAGGCTGGGGACAGCTGCTAGCGGCTGGAGTCACCACTGCACAACTTCTGTCTTAACTCCTCACAAGAAGGAAGCAGACCTTTGCAAACAACCAACCAGCAGCCAGCTGTGAGCACAGCACATCCCCTCCTGCAACCCTTCCGCAGAAATACCAGAGTGCCTCTGTGGGTTCCACTGGAACCTTCAGAGACATCCAAAGCCTTACTGTGCAAACTAAACAGGTCTGCTATATCCTGATAAATTTGGATACGTACTCTGTCACAGCACTTCACTGATGAAAAAATGTCACACCTGAGCCGTCCTGGGCATCCCATGAGCCCAAGGGCACCTTTCAAACAATTACACCTCCACTTCCAGTTCTTGCTCCTTGTTGGGGGAAACCACCAACAGACAGAATGCACAATGCCTCCTGCAGCAGACACTGCTCTGCCACTCCCCACCCCTCCTGGCTGAGGAAAGCTCTGAAGTACCGGCAGAAGCTTGGCAGAAGCTTTGGAAGCCCAACCTTAAGAGAAAAGGCAGCACCAAGCACTGCTCCTCAGGGGAGGATCGCCCTCATCGCACAGCTCTCTTTCGGGGGGTTCTCCTGAAAGCACTGATGGCAACTGGAGAGCCCAGAGCAAGCACTCACCTTTTCATGCCACTGGAGTAATATTGCACTGCTATTTTCTGTCGGCTTTTCAAATCCTTTATAAATATACTTCATTAACAAGTCAATACCATTTCTGTCTAAGGAGTTCACCGCTTGTTCGATTTCACTGCTTTTAAAAGACGTGAGGACTTTGAGCATGGTTCCCTGCGCCTGCTCCTGCACAGAAAGGAAAACGCCGTTAGGATCAGCGAAGCCGGACGCGACCCCGAGAGCCGCGTGCAGCAAAGCGCCCGGAGCAGCGGCTGCGCTGCCGGTGGTGAAGATGCTGCAGCCAAACAGGAGAACATTTTGCACCTTAAGTTTCCGTAGTGAGAATACAGAAGGGAAGAGCTCTTTAAAACCGGACTTATTGGTACTCCTACCTCGGGAGAGCCACCCGGAGCGCACTGCAGAATTGCCTGCAACAAATCTACAGTCTGAGACCAACGTCGTGCTTCTGCAGCACACTACGAGACCCCCTCGGAGGTACTTCAGGACTTCCTCTCTCAGCCATCGGTTGCTGCCGGCGCGTTTCCCCGCACCTCGGGACGCCGCCCATTACCGGCGCGGATCCCGGGCCGCACTCACCTTCAGGGCCGCGCTGCGCGTCTGGGCGGGGGCGCTCCGCAGGGCCGCGTGCAGCGCGCGCAGCGCTTCGCCTCTACGGCGCGAGTCAAGGAGTAACGGCGGCACCGGGAGCCCCGGACACGGCGCGACCCGGAGAGGGGGGAGGGGAGGAGGCCGCCGGGCCGGGGGGAAGCGGCAGCCGAAACTGCGGCCGCCGGGCGGCAGCGGCGCGGGACGGGGCCGGGGCGGTACGGAGGGCGGCACCGGGCAGCCACAGGCCGCGCCCCCGCCCCGGTAACGTTCCCGGGACTCCCGACGGCAGCGCGGGCCGGGCCGGACCCGCCCGAAGGATACTGCCTCAGCAGCGCCTCCACCTCGGGGCTCGCGTCGGGCTCGGCCGCCGCCGCCTCCTCGGGCTCCTCCACGAACCGGTTCTCGTCGTACTGATCGATGTCGAGGCGGCGGAAGCGGGACGAGAGCGTGCTCCGCGCCATGCCGTCGGAACCGGAACCGCCTCCGCCGCTCCGCCCCGCCGGAACCGGAAGCGCAGAGCCCCGCCCCGTCCCGCCCGGGGCGAGAAGAAGGGAGCGGAGGGCGCCCCCCGCCGGCCCGGCCCGCACAGCGCCACCCGCCGCACGGAGAGGACGCGCGACTGAAAAATCAGAACGATTCCTTTAATGTACGAAGGGAGGGGCGGCGGAGCACCGGGCGGCGCGCGGCGATGCGGCCCGACGGCCCCGGCTGCGGGAACTTTGCTGCTGAAACCTCTTGAAATCTACCGGAAACAAAAAAGCTCAGGGATGAGCGCGGCCCCGGGCGCCGCTGCCGTCGAACGCAAACGCTTCGTCTCGGCCCGGCGTGCGGCGCTCGGAATGCCGCAGGCGCGGTGCAGCTCCGCCCAAATCAATCCAGGGGAGGAGGGGAAAAAAGGAAATCGCTACAGACACCGTAATGCACAATAAATTTAGATAATTTAAAAATAAAAAAGGCAAGAGGCAGCATTTCAGCAGCAAAGTGCTTAATAAAAAGTATATTGTCAAGAGGCAGAAGGAGGGGCGGGGGCAGCAGGCGGGGGCGGCTCAGAGGAAGTAGGGGGTGGTTGTCCTGGGAGGGATCACTCGTTCTGAGTCTGGGACTGCTCGGAATAGCTTTGGTTCTCTTGTATTTACATCTTTAAAGACCATGATTGAAGCAATGTTTCCGCAGCGATAGCAGTAATTGGGAGCAGACCACACCGTGACCAATTTCTCATCAAACATGAACTTATAGCCTTCGTGAACCAGCTGATGTGCTCTGCAGATGAGTTTCAGGTTGTTGATGTGGACAAACTGCAAAGAAAAAAGGTGCGTCAGAACTCTGCGAGGGCCCAGCAGCAGCTCCTGCCGTGCAGCCCTCCTGCAGCTCTGCTGGGCTCATCTGTGGGCTGCAGCACTGACAGCACTGAGGTGCAGGCTGTGCTAAGGACGCTCCCTGTGCTCCCAGCCACATGCAAGGATCCCCCTGTGCCCAGCGCCCCCAGCAGCACCCCCAGAGGTGGGACTGAGCGGACGGTGCTGGGAGCAAACCTCTCCTCTCAGAGCACAGAAAAGGCAGCTTTGGGTTTTGAAACCTGAACAGTGAGAAACGCTCCTGCCCGGGACAGCCGTGGTGCCTGGGCCTGTGCTGCCCACACCTTTCAGTCCTTCCTGAATATGCTGCAGAGGACCACAGAGAACAATGCACAGCATGACTCAGGAATTCATCTTAGGGCTGGTTCAGAAGCCTGGGAAGTTCAATGGCTCTTAGCCTCAAGAAGCCTGCTTACTATGTTGCAAAGTAACAAAAATTAAGTCAAAGATTGTTAACAAAAATAGCATTTCTTCTTCCAAATCATTAGAAAAGTATTCTACACAAAGCCCAGTAATTCTAGTTATACTTTTTAAAAATCAAGATCTGTGTATTATCTCACTTGGCACTTTTTGAAGGGACAACAATAAGTCACAAGAAAACCTCCTTCACCTCCACACCAACTCCCAGCTCCCTCACAAGGAAAGTTCCTTAATCCACCCATCACTACAGTAAAGCTTTGTCTCACACCTGCAATTATGGAACGCGGCACAGAATCGCATCATTACCTCATTGGTCACCTTGGCACCAAACAGCCAACCCGCTCCTCGTGGGCTGATGGCCCACGTATCCACATCTTCTGGATCAGACCAAACCAGGTCACAGAAGGCGCCTTTATGAGGAATTTCTTGATTACGTTCAATGGTTCGAATCTGATCGAGTGTCTTGATGTCTGGAGACAAGCCTCCGTGCACACAGAGAATCTGCTCATCTATTAACTGGAGAGAAAAGGAAACACAAAACAGTGGGTATTTCAGCCCAACCCAGAACCTCTCTAGCAGGACCCTTAGAGGCCACCAATTCTATAAGTTATATTTAGACAATCTACTCGCATCTTTTCAGTGAGGTGTTCACACTTACAGCTGCTATTGTGAGCATGTCAAAGACTTTGGTACAGTATCTCCAAGCATTAGCATTCCCGTATTTGGTTTGGCACTCATCTGTTAAATAGAGAATGTTTTTCTTCTTAGCAGACCAGAAGAAATTCAGACAATGTGATCAGAGTCAAACAGAACAGAACTTGAAAAGGCAGATGTAAAACAAAAAGGAAACAAACAAATAAAAAACAGCTGGGAGCAACCAGTAAGCGCTGGGTGGAAAGCACTCTTCACTGTTTCTGTGGTCCACCAGCAGGGAGAGGACCTCACTACCTACTGCTTTTTCTTCAGCAATGGAGAAAAAAGCAACACAACTGACAGCACCTTAGCAGTTTCCCACCGACTGCCTGGGAACGGCCCCTCAGCTCACCCAGCAGTGTTTATACTGATTATATGATCGCGCTTCATGCAAGAGATGTGAGGCAGAAACAGGGAACCCATTAGGGCTAATTAAAGTCCTCTTCACTACAAATAAGTGCTGCAGTAGCTTCGTTTACAGCTATACAAATATATCAATAAAACTGATGGACAAGTATTTCTTTGGAGCCTCATGAGGCTTATAAATGTTTATATATGCTCTCGTTGACACACTATGGCACGTTATCCAGAAGAAAGCAGGCTGAAGCCTGTATGTCACAATGATTTTCAGTTATACCCAAAGAGAATTATGTAGAATCTTTCATTAAAAGACACCAAAGCATATCATCAAAAAAACGCAAAGAAAAACTGAGATGCTGGAGGAAAAGATGGGCTAGAGATGGAATAAAACACCTTTACTTCTTGAGCACAACAACAGTGTTAACATTTGAGACCATTTCCCACCCAGTTCTAGGAAAGCCCCACATAGCGCTGCACACAAAGCAGATTTTAAAAGGGAAATACGAGATAGTTGTTTATGGCATGCTGCCCCCCATTCAGAAATCACTTGGGTGAAGTCTTACCATAAAATCCATACACTTGCGTTATCTGCCTGCTTTCGTGATTGCCTCGTAACAGCGTGATACGATCGGGCCATTTAGCTTTTAGTGCGAGAAGATAAGTGAAAGTCTCAAGACTATAGTAACCTCTATCTACAAAGTCACCCTGCAAAGTCAAAACAAAATTATAAATAAAGAAACACCAAAGCTGAAAAATGCAAAGCGACAGTCGCTTTAACTCCTCAGTGCACGAAGAAATCTGATGCCGAAGGAGGCCTGCAGCCCACCGGGGAGGACGCGCTCTCTGCTCCCCGACCGCACAGCCGCCGCACGGGACACCCGCCTCAGCTCCCCCCGCGGGCAGCAGCCAGGGCTGGGAAGGCATGGTGCTGCCGCCGGGGCCGGCACCCAGCACAGGTCCGGGCCCGACGCGAGCTGCGAGGGTGAGGCGGCACCGGCACGTACCATGAAGATGTAGTTGGTGTCAGGCACCTGCCCGCCGGTCCGGAACAGCTCGCACAGGTCGTAGAACTGCGGAATGGGGCACACGTCAGCGCGGGCGGCGGCACCGAGCACTGAGGCGTGTCCCGGCGCCGCGCCGTTACCTGCCCGTGGATGTCCCCGCAGACGGTGACGGGCGTGGAGACGGGCTGCACGTTGGACTCCTCCAGCAGCAGGTCGCACACGTAGTCGCACAGGCGCTGCGGGAGCACAGTGGGTAGCACTACCACCGCCGCCAGCAGCAGCGGGAGAGTACCGGTACCGGCACCGTCCGCCGCCGCCCCTCCGACCCCGCCCCACCCCGCCTGCGCCCACCTTGAGGTCATTCTCGGGCAGGTACTTGCAGAGCCGTGCGATCTCCACGTACTTATCCAGGTCCAGCGGCGCCATCTTCGGACAGCAGCTCGGAGCCGGAAGCGAAGCCCTCCACTTCCGGGAAGCGGCGCGGGCCTCGGACGCCAGCGGAAGTTCGTGCACTTCCGGCCGCGCACCGGAAGGTGGCGGCTGGAGCCGAGCGGGGCCGGCCCGCGCTAAGGGCTGAGCTCAGAGCGGCTCGGCCAGGTCCCGCCATGGGGCCGCGGATGCTGCCGCTGCTGGAGCCGGGCTGCCGACCGCAGGCGGGCAAGTGGTGAGCGCGGGGGGTGCCGCGGGAGGGGGCCGGCGCGGTCCCGGCTGCCTCTCGGCGCGGCTGAGCACCGCCCGTCGCTCCCCGCAGGTACCGGCTGGCACCGCGCGGTGAATGGCCCCGCGGGCGCGTGGGCCACGGCTGCCTCTTCGTGCCGGGCGGGCCGGGCCGTGTGCTCCTCCTGGGCGGCGCCGACCCCGCGGGCGCTTTCGCGGACGCCCACTTCGTGGAGCTGGGTGAGGGCCGGGCCGGGCGGGGCGCGGGGCCGCCTCCGTTCCCCCTAACCGCGCCGCGCCCGGCCCGCAGGCGCGCATCTCTGGGCCCCGGCTGCCTGGACCGGACTGCGGCCGCGCTACGAGCACGCCACGTTCCTGTCCGCCTGCTGTCCACCGCGCCTCTGGGTGTTCGGCGGCGCGCACCGGGCCGGGAACCGGAGCTGCGTCCAAGTGCTGGACCCCGGTGAGTGCAGACGTCGGCGAAGCGGGTGTGGGTCCTGGCCGTGGCACGGAGCGGCCCCGCGGAACTCATGCGTGTCTGCCGTGTTTGCTTTCTTAATTAGAAATAGGAACCTGGGAGAGTCCCGAGGTGAGGGGTGTTCCGCCGCTGCCCAGGACGTTCCACACCTCCTCGGCAGCTGTAGGGGACTGTCTGTATGTCTTCGGAGGGGGAGACAAAGGAGCAGAGCCGGTTAAAGACCAGCAGCTTCACGTCTTTGACACAGGTACCTCTGTGTGTCACAGGCTGTGCCAGCAGAGAACTGCCCACTGCACTGGAGATCTGCCTCCCAGATTTTGTCAGCCTTGGCTGCAAGTTTAAAGGGAGGGGTGAAGGTTGCTGCTGATGCGTGCTCACCTCTGTACTGTGATGGGAAATTTGGGCCAAAGTGGCAGTGTAAAAATTTGGGATGGGGAATGCTGTGGGACTTCTCGTGAACTGTTGGTATTGTTCTGTTCATTCCTATGGCCCTGCATGCACCAGAAGGGAGCCCCAGCAAGACTCAGGGGCTACTGGTTTGTAGAGCTATCAGTTTTCCTCCTCATACACACACATTCTCATTTTTCAGTTGCTTTGACATGGACTCAGCCTGAAACCCACGGCGATCCCCCTTCTCCTCGGCATGGGCACGTTGTTGTTGCAGCTGGGACCAAGCTTTTCATACATGGAGGTTTAGCTGGTGATATTTTTTACAATGATCTGTTCTGCATTGATACAAGTAAGAAGGGCCATAAGTATCTTAGAACAATAGCTGTGCTATTATGTGTTTTGCTTTGTTTTGTTTGTTTCTTTTTGTTTTGTTTAATAATGCATAACCATAACTCTGTTCTTTTTGTCCAACAGCAGACATGAAGTGGGTTAAGATAGCAGCCACTGGTGATGTGCCAGGAGGACGGGCCTCCCACTCGTCGGCTGTGTTTAAAGACCACTTATACATTTTTGGTGGAATAGGTCCAGATGGGACGCTAGATACTACATACAAATATCATATAGGTAGGGAGACTTCTCTCAGCTTTGTAATGGTAAATGCCCGTCTGTTTGAAAATACATTGTGGTTTTAGTTCCTAGGCTTCATTCTCTTAGCAATCAGCGTCACTGCACTGGAAATATACCAGTTCAAGACCTAATAGTTAAGGCTAGATGGTACTACAGACTAATGTATAATCAGCAATGGGACTGTTCCAGCATGGCTTTTGAGTCTGTTAAGTGATGTTTTAAGATGTGAATGTATTTTTGTACTGCAGAGGAGCAGCAGTGGACACTCCTGCAGTTTGATTCTCCTCTGCCTGCTGGGAGACTGGACCACGCCATGTGTGTCATTCCTTGGCGGGCTGGCAACAACGCTGACTCAGGAGCTGTCAGTAGGGAAGATAAAGCTGAGCCAGCTGCATCAGCTGGTGACAGAGCTGACCACCTCTGCAGAGGCCAGGATGAGAAGACATGTACTGAAGACACAGTGATGCATCTGCTGTTAATATTTGGTGGGATGGATACACAAGCAGACATATATAGGGACTGCATTGTAAGTTTGATTGAATAGTCCAGCTTTTGATTGAATAGTCCAGCTGCAGCCCTTCACAGCACCATCCCTTTCCTTACAAGTTTTCTGTAGCAGTGTCTGATTAAGTTCACTATTTCCAATAAACAAATTCTTGCCCTCATAAGGGTGGCAGTCCTGCTTTCTGTGTGCAGTCATGCTTACAAGTAGGTACGTCAGTCCCTTTGGAAGGCTGTGGCTGCTGTGGTTTCAGCAGCTTCTTGGCTTGTGTGTTGCTGGAAGGTGAAAAGCTGGGGGTTGCAGAGGTTTTGGGCAGCTTTCTCCCCGAAGCTCACATGCTCCTAGTTGACTATAAAGGTACTTCCACTTGCAAAACTGAGGTTATCTACAAAGATTTGGGAGATAATTAAGGGCATTTGTCTTATACTATTTTGAAAATAGGTGTATGAGAAACCCCTGACTCTCCTGCATCAGAAAAGCCACCTTTCAAAGTAGGGAGAGCCGGACTTGCTACTTGTGTTACTGCATTTGGGAACCACTGTTCTCCTGTGTAAAGATTGACCTTGAGGTGGCTGTTTCCAGTTTTTGGTGCAGGCTTTTTTTTTTCTTCAGAAAAGTCAATGGTAGATGCACATTGTCCCCTTTGCTTCTGTACCAGCTTTACCAGTTCAGGTTTAACAAGGTACCTTTCTCTCCTTTAGGTTACTGTTACAAGCGCTTGTAACCCTTGGGTGCTCAGGTTAACCCCTCGGCTTTTTGCTTTGTAACAAATGTATGGTGTGATTAGCTGGAAGCACAATGCTACACTGCAGAAACAATTCAGTGCTTGTAAGTAGTTCCCATTCCAATAGTGGCACCACATCCACGCTTCTGGAGCTGTTTGCTACAGCCTGTTTGATGTAAAAAAAAAAAAAAAAAAAAAAAAAAAAACTACAAAAAAAGGAGAGGACTGGAACCAAGCAGGATCAGCATAGTTGAGCTTGAAAGCTTTTGCAGCCTTCTTTGTATTAAGCCTTTATAGGACAGCTAACCTGAACTCAGTCAATACAAATTATAAGCTACACCAAAATCCAGTGTAAATAACAAATTTATTGTGGTCACTTCAGGTAGAAAAGTTCTACACCAAATTCACATGACCAAGCTGTTAAATAGAATGCTTCCATGGCCAATATTTCTAAACCCATTTCTCATTTACATTCCCACCCCTGCTACCCTTCCCTCCCCAGACATCAAGCAACTGCTAACGAAACGCAGTAAACAGCCACTTTGGGCCAGCATTTCCAGCTCCACTCACAGGTGAAGATTCAAAGTTACATTCCAAATTAAGAGTTCAATATTTTAACAAGTGTTCCTGAGTCCAATATATACACACACAACATTCAGAGATGCCAGTATCTACAACTCATCCTTCTCTGCTGCTTCTTCTTCACCAGTGGGAGGGGGGCCTGCACTTCCATACAGCTTGCTAACAATTGGCTGAACAATTTCCTCTAGCTCCTTCTTCTTTGATTTGAAGTCTTCAATGTCTGCATCCTGATGGCTTTCAAGCCACTCTATCTTTTCCTCCACTGCCTTTTCTATCGTTTCTTTGTCTTCAGAGGACAGCTTGCCACCCAGCTTCTCTTTGTCCCCAATCTGATTCTTCAAAGAATATGCATAGCTCTCCAGCTCATTCCGGGCATCAATGCGTTCTTTAAGCTTTTTGTCTTCCTCAGCAAACTTCTCAGCATCATTAACCATCCTCTCAATCTCCTCTGGTGTAAGCCGATTCTGATCATTTGTAATTGTGATCTTGTTTTTGTTCCCAGTGCCCTTGTCTTCAGCTGTGACACGAAGGATTCCATTCACATCTATTTCAAAGGTAACTTCAATCTGTGGGACACCACGAGGAGCAGGAGGGATTCCAGTCAGATCAAAAGTTCCCAGGAGATGGTTGTCCTTGGTGAGGGGACGCTCACCTAAAACAACAGGTTAGTACATGAAACTGTATCAACCGTTGTTTGCATTTTGTGCAACACTTGACTCGACCTGCATGCTTTCCAAAGCTGAGGTTTTAATTCCAACCTGATGTCTGAGATGCCTACAGTACCTTACTCTGAAGAGAAGCCCTTTCAATCACAACTACTGAAAAACCATTTGAAAAGAACCACAGGAATAGCTTTTGAGTTCAAGCTGCCTGATCAGAGCTGTCTCAGTTGGTGAACAGTCTGAGCTAACACTGTTATCAAGCTTCTCTGTATGGATATGTGCATAGCTTCTTGACAGCACCACACAGCCTTCTGACAAGACAAGCATAAATCTGAATGAGAAAGTTCAGCTCTAGGGCACTTACCTTCATAGACCTTAATTGTCACAGTTGGCTGATTGTCAGAAGCTGTGGAGAAGATCTGAGACTTCTTTGTAGGAACAACAGTATTTCTTGGGATCAATTTAGTCATTACACCTCCAACTGTCTCAATGCCAAGTGTCAGAGGACACACATCAAGCAACACCAGATCACCTGTAAAAAAGATTGTGCATCAGAGAATGACTGACTTCAGCTCCTCTTTGCAGAAGCATACCAGTCTATCACTGGCAACAGCAGTCTGAGTTAGAGACATTAAGCTTCTTAGGATTGTGAAAACTCAATTCTATCACTTGCCAACAATACTATTTATTGTCATTACCTGTGTCTTGGTCCCCAGAGAGAACACCAGCCTGAACAGCTGCACCATAGGCTACAGCCTCATCTGGATTAATGCCACGAGAAGGCTCCTTCCCATTGAAGAACTCTTTAACAAGTTGCTGTATTTTGGGGATGCGAGTAGAACCACCAACAAGAACAATCTCATCAATATCAGACTTCTTTAGGTCAGAGTCTTCCAGAACTTTCTGAACAGGCTTCATTGTAGAACGGAACAGATCCTAGAAAGAAGAAAGTTAGAACAGTAAGATCGCATTCCCACGCCCATTTTCAAAACTAAGCACCCTTAGGGTACCAAGAATTAGAGTGATCATCAAGAGGCTCATCGTCAGCCTTCCTAAGACCTTAGCTGTCAGTAACATGCTGAGTCCCAAACACCCTGGGAAGTAACTTCTTGCTTTTTTATTCAAGTAGCACGTTATTTTTACTCTGTTTAAATGTAACTAAGTTAGGTGAAACAGCACACCGCCGCTAGCAAGTCACTAGTTTGGAGCTCAGGGAATGTAGCTTTAGCTTTGTAACCTTACCATATTCAGTTCTTCAAATTTGGCACGAGTAAGAGTCTCGGAGAAATCCTCTCCTTCAAAAAAGGATTCTATTTCAATTCTAGCTTGGTGCTGGGATGACAGGGCTCGCTTTGCTTTCTCTACTTCCCGTCTTAGTTTCTGTACAGCTCTGTTATCCTTCCTGACATCTTTTCCAGTTTTCTTCTTGTAGAGCTTGATGAAGTGTTCCATAACACGTTGGTCAAAGTCTTCTCCACCCAGGTGTGTGTCACCATTGGTAGCCACAACTTCAAAGACTCCATTGTCAATTGTCAGGAGGGAGACATCAAAAGTTCCACCACCCAGGTCAAATACAAGGATGTTCTTCTCACCCTCTCTCTTGTCCAATCCATATGCAATGGCAGCAGCTGTTCTGTATAGAAGTAACCAGATCAGGAAACTTTTGATTACCAAACCCCATTCCCAAATAACCAGCAGGCAAGGTAGTTTAGGCTACTTACGGCTCATTAATAATGCGCATCACGTTCAATCCAGCAATTGTACCAGCATCTTTTGTAGCCTGACGCTGAGCATCATTGAAGTAGGCTGGCACAGTAACAACAGCATGAGTAACCTGCAGAAAATAAAACAATTAGATTAAGGAAAGCTATGTACCTTAGAAATAATTTTATCACTTCTGATAGCAAGAAATCATTTTAGCTGAGCCCAACCAACTGGGCTGCCTAAGAAGCCAACAGCACTGAACAAAGTCTGGGACTGGAAGGTTATCCTTAGCTTTTTTAAAACTGTTTTAAGTTCCTGTTATAAATATTCAAACTTACTTTCTTCCCCAGATAAGCCTCTGCAGTTTCTTTCATCTTTGTCAGGACCATGGCAGAAATTTCTTCTGGAGCAAATGTTTTTGTTTGTCCACCACCAACATCAACCTGAATATGCGGCTTAGCTTTCTTTTCAACAACCTGAAATGAGAAAGACTGGTATATTCCAGGTATTCTTAAGCATAGAGTCTGTACTCTAGACATCAACAGCCCTTCTTAAGAAGGCTATAAAACCACAGACTGCTCAGAACGGCACTGTTATTTACCTCCCCTATCCCCCCCCCCCCCCCCCCCCCCCCAAGTCAAGAGAGATGCACAGCTCCTGCAGCCCACTCCTGACCACAGAAGCTAGAACCCTGCCACCACCCCCCCCACCCCTATTCATGAGGCACACCTTGAAGGGCAGATACTTGATGTCCTGCTGCACCGAGGGGTCATTCCAGGTGCGGCCTATGAGCCGCTTGGCATCAAACACAGTGTTCTCAGGGTTGGATGTCAGCTGGTTCTTGGCCGCATCCCCGATCAGGCGCTCCCCCTCAGGCGTGAATGCCACGTAGGATGGAGTGATGCGATTCCCCTGGTCATTGGCGATGATTTCCACGCGGCCGTTCTTGAAGACACCCACGCTGAAGGAGAAATGGAGCAGTCAGATGGCACAGGGGTACGGTTCTCCCACCCTGCTCTTGCCAGACCCCTCCCCGGAGCCCACAGCTCCTTCATCCCTTCCTCTCTCTCTCTCCCTACCTACCTCCCGCCCGCCCTCTTCCCCCACCCAGCCACTCACCCCAGCCCCCACCACCCCGATCCCCATGTCCACGATGCCCGTCCCCACAACAGACGGTTCCTTACGCACCAAGAATAGGTCGTGCCGAGGTCGATGCCCACCACCGTGCCCACGTCCTCCTTTTTCTCTTCGTCGTCCGCCCGCGCGCCGCCCAGCAGCAGCAGCGCCAACAGGAGGTGCCTCATGCCGCCTGTTCGCCGCCCTGCTAAGGAACGCCAGTCACAAAATGGAGGCGCCACATGCGCGGCGCGACCCAATCCGGCCTCACTGCCCCCCCCCCCCACCCACCCACCCACCCGCCGGGGTCCAGCCCGGTCCGCGGCCGCCCCCCCCCCCCCCCCACACCCCACCCACCAGGCCCCGGCAGGCCGCAGCAGGCCCCGCCACCGCCCCTACCGTCACACACGAATCGCCGTGTCTCCAACTGCCGCTGAACACCCAGGCCGCGCCGCGCGCCCTTATATATCCTTCGTTACTCCTTCGTGGAGGCTCGCCATTGGCCGCAGAGCCCTCGCTGGAGAGCGCTCATTGGCCGACTGCTACTAAGCTGGCCTTCCTTGATTGGTGAGGAGCGGGCGGTCGCTCTGACATGCCTGGCGCGCACCCCTCCTGCCACCCGATTGGTTCACCCCGCCGGTATCGCGGGCCAATCAACAGAGAAGCGTGAGCCAAGCGGAAGAAGCCCATTGGTTGGGGGCGGCCGTGGCGGCGAGGCCAGGGTAGGGAACGGGGTGGGAGGGGGGGGGGGCGACGTTCTGGAAGTTTCCATGGTAACCGACCCCGGTGCTGGGAGGAGGGGAGGCTGGCGACGGCGAGCCTTCTCGGCCAAGCGCGGCGGAGACCGGAGACATGGGCGGAAGGAGGGCTGCGCCTTGCGGTCTGCCTCCTCCCTGCAGAGCCCCAGGTGCGGGCGGGCTCTCCGTAGCTCCGCAGAGTTCGGCTCGGGTCCGTCCGTGCCGGCAGCGCCCGCTCGCGCCTGCTGCTGGCACTCGGACAACGACAGGCCGCGCCTCGCCCCGGCGTTACGCCGGGTTACATCAGCGCCGGGCCGCGCTGTCCCACTGGCTGCAGGGCCGCACCTTCACGCAGCGGGCCTGGGGTCGTGTCTGAGCGCTAGTGTAAGGAATTGAGGGCCCTGGGTCAGTCGCGACATGAGAAAATGAGATTCGTGAACCGTTGGGTGATAGCAGGGCTGAATCGTAACAGAAATAACTGGGCTGTATAAAAGCGTGGCTCCAAAGACAGCCCTGAGCCACGCTGTAAGAACGCAGCCGTGGTGCTGCTCGCAGCTGGGCAGCGCTGAGGGCAGTGCTGTGATCCCACTGCTCACAGTGCGCCTTTTCTGAAGCTCTCATCTGGGTGCTGTTCTTCCTATTAGGAGGTGTATTTCAGAGTCTTCTATATATCATTGTAGATTTATTTCTTTTACTCAATTATTTCTGTATTGAATTCACATCTTCTTTGAAGAATCCTGATGCAAATTACTGAGCTTAGCCTTATTAAAGAACTGTCTTCGCTACAACTGCATATCCCAAGAACTGTGCCTAACGTATTTTATCTCTTCACGGGAAGCCATGTGCAGATAAGGAGACATCTTGACGCTTGCAGGCCTCAGGCTCATTCCCCTCAGTTCTCTTAAGGGCAGCGATGCTGTAATGCAGCCGGTGTTCTGCGCTACAGGCAGGAGCACGGTGTGCCAGCTGGCTGTGTCGTACAGACATAATGCTTTGCTGGTGTGTGTGTTTGGGCTCAAGGAACTTTTTTTGCTCTTGCATTTCTGTGTGCCATGGTTGTTTTTAAAAAGTCATTTGGATATTTAAAATTCAATTACGTAAGCACTGTTTTATCAGAGGAGAGGATTTGAGGCTGTAACTGTGTCAGCTACGAAAAAGACACACACATAATAGTTTGGAGATTGAGAAATACAAAGCACCGATGTGTGGCTGCTGTGCTGAGCTGACGCAGAGAAGAGCTCTGCAGATGGCTTAGGCATGAAAAAGCAATAATGGTGACTGAGGAGTGTTACTTTCCCACCCGAGTCACCCCTGCCCCTGCTGCAGCCTGGATGCCATGCCCTCATGCTGGGTTTTGGCTTACTGCTACCATTCCACAGTGTAACAAGGTGCCCAGGTGAGAGCTGGGCTGCAAATGGTGCAGCCCTTTTTCTCTTTAAGAGAACAAGCTTCTTAATACCTCTGTTGGAAGAATTTTTTTTGTGTGTACTAAGTTATGTCCTAAGACATAGATTTCCCTTGTATTTCTAATTGAGCTACATGTGTTATGAGGAGCACAGGTGGGGCTGGGCCGTACCTGTACGTTCAGCTGTCTGATCTCAGCCTCCTGCTTCCCACAGCAAAGCTGTGTAAGGCCCCATCCCGCGGGCAGCCAGTGAGCTCTGTACTTTCTGAGGATCTTGGGACAGCTGAGAAAGGAGGGCAAAGTTAAAATCAGTTTGTGACCATCAACCAAAGCACAAGCTGTGATTGTGCAGTCGCATGTGATGCTGGTTATGATTAAGCAGTGCTATTACGTGAGGCAGATTGCCCCACGCAGCGCTGTTACACGTTGCATACTCCACTGCTCGTCACCGTGCGTTTCGATCCGCAGGGCCGGCCGAGCCCTACGGCCCTCCCTTGTAAAGCAGCCGCGGGAGAAGGGCGGCGTCCGTCCGGACGCAACCCAGGGAACGGTGCCCATCGGAGCCACGCAGCGCGAAGCGACCGCTCCGAGCCCGATTTTTCCTCGCACCACCCAGCAGCAGCCCCACACCAGAGATGCTGCGCCGTCACGCGGCCTCGGTGGGGGCTGAAGAAAGAACGGGGTCCGGGGCTCGGCGCCCGCGGGACCGCATGGCCGCGGGACTACATGTCCCAGGAGCGCGGCGTCGCCGCCCGCCGCCTGCGCAGTGCCGCGCCGCGCCTGGCTCGGGGCCGCAGCGGAGCCGGGCGGCGGCGACGGAGCCGGGGCCGGGTAGGGGAGAGGGCTCGCAGCCCGCGCGGCTGGGACCGCCGCTCGGATCCCCACCGGCGGCGCGGGGGAAGGGAAGGGAGGGAAAGGGAGGGGAGGGAGGGAAGGGGAAGGAAAGGAGAGCGGAGCGGGCCCGACCGACCCCTCTCTGCTTTTTCAGGGAGCCGAGCGGGAAGCGCTGCGAGGAGCAGGCCGACGCGCCGAGGTGCCGATCTCGTCCGCGTTCCCCGGGCGGGGGGAGGCGCCCAGCACCGGGCGGGGGCCGCGCTCGCAGTCCGCGCCGCGGGAGCTGAGCGGGCCGCGCTCCGCCCGCTGCCCGCTGCCATGTTAGCGCCGGCGGTCGCCAGGCGGGAGCGCCTCGCGGCCCTTCGTGCTCTGCGGCGGGACTGCGCGGCTGCGGAGCGGCGTGAGCGCCGGCACCGCCGGGTTTACGGGTTCCGTCTGACGGAGGTTTAGAACTTGTAACTTGGGCAGTGTCGTGACTTCCTTTTTTTTTGTCGCCGAGAGGCTTCGTGCCGGAGGACTTTGGTCAGGCGAGTGTTCGTCTCTCGTTCTTGCAAAGTCACGACGGCGCGCTTTGAAGGAGCGGCTGTGCCCGCCGCTGAGGTGGAGCCGCGCGGTGCGGCTGCGCCTCGAGTGGGAGCTGCGCTTGGGGGGATCTGAAAGAAGCACGCTTCTGCAAATTGGCGTCGGCTGCGCTGGTGGTTTCAGGAAAAGGGCTTCAGAGCGGCTGCGCTGCGGTGGGTTTCGGGACGTCGCAGGTGCCGTAGGTGTGGGTTTGGCTGCGCGGTGCGGCGGGCCCAGGAGAGCGAACAGCCTGCGCGGGGGGCTGCGGAACCGCCAACTTCAGGTTCTGCACTTCTGCCTGGAAGTTAATTGGTGCGGCTCGTTATGTAGGGCGAGCGACTCTTTCTAACAGCACGAGCTACTGGAGTAGGTTTTGGTGGTTATGTGCCTCTGTTGACTCTTGTGCGTTGCTGTAGTATCGCAGCTGACAATTTAGTAGGCAGCTGAGCCTATGCGTTCCTGATACGCCCTGTTAATAAGGGACTCAAGAAATGAAGTGCTCTTGCACACAGAGCTTGTGTTCAGTGTTGGTTGCACAGCAGCCACTGAGCAGAAGCAAACTCGAGGTGCTTGTTTTGTGTTAATGTTGATTAGATAGTTGAATTGCAGCAAATTGAAATGCATTTTGCACGTTGTGTGCTTTGATGTGGTGGGCATTATAATGTGAGGGTTCAGCAGGTAAATCCTAAGTCATGGTGAACTGAAAAATGTTGGTTTTTTTTTAGCTCAACATTGGGAGATAGGTTGTTAGCTTATGTAAAGAAGGCTTGCTTGTTGTTACTATAAATGTTAATGAAGATGAGATGCTTTCATCTGGGGTAAGTTAGCATGGAAGCTATTCAAGCTTGCTTAAGAATTCTTTCTCAGTAAGAAGGAACGATCTCAGTTTGGCCTTGCCCTGCCCTCCCTGCAGTTGATCTGCCCAAACTTGCTTTGGAAGCTGAGTCTTGCTTAGCAGACACAGGAAGAACAAATAACCCTGAGCAGGAAATGCTGGAGGAGGAAGAAGAATTTAGTGTACGGTGGCAGTATTTGCTGCTTTGCTTACTCTTTTCTGTCAACAGAACTGCAGAAATGTGTAACAGAGGTGCCACTTGTTTCTGTGTGCCACAGTACAAAACACGCGCTCTATGTGCTGCTATTCAGCACCCAAAGATTCAGGGAGTGCTTTATGGGACTTCTAAATGCGAGAAACAGTTTATGTCTGTGTTTACCAAAGACATAGATTGCTCTGGATTCTGAAGAACTCAGAGCATGCTGATAGTAGGGCAAAACATCTTAGATGCTGTCAGCTCACACAGTCTGTTGTGGTGGGGCATTGTGAGGTGGAATTGTTTGAATTGCTGCAGTAAGTTTTCCAGTTAGTAGCTTATTAAGCGGTCTTAAAATAATTGAAATATTTTTCTATTAAAATGAAGTTACCTGGATTGAAAAATGGTTTGCAGATAGTGGGAGTTATTTAATATCTGTTATTTCTTCAACTGCATCAGACAGTTGGATTTCTAAATTTCCTAAACCGCCTCCTTCATACAATTGCACGCAGACACTTTTTATTTCAAGTCTGACGGATGATCGTTGTAAAGTAGTTAATTGGGTAATTTTGGGTGGCTTCTGTGTGTATGAGAAGCTGATAAGCAGGAACTAGTAGCAGCTGAGGTGGCTGCCGTCCTGTCTGTTCTGTTACGGCCTGCTGCAGTGCATTACCAAATACGTAAGTGTGGCTAATTGCTTCTTAAAGCTCTTGTCCTGAGCTCTGGCATGGCGTGAATGCTGTGCGGCGTGGGAAGGTTAAAGAATGCAGCTGTTGTCTGCTTGTACTGATCGTGAAGAGAAGGGGCTTTTGGAGGGGAGCAGTGCATCATGTAGGTGTATTAACGATAGAGTAGTTTTCCTTTTCAGATATAGGCTATGTGAATACCAGTGTGTGAAGAGAGGGATAGCATGTGCATCTTGTTCAACTGGGTTGGTTGGTTTGTTTTTGACTGTGCTTTATGCTTTCTTTAGAGTGAGTCTGAAGGCTGCTGAAGGTCCATATGTGTCACAGTTCCAGCTTTCCATCTCTAGTGTTCTCAGACGTCTGCCAGTCACGGAAGGTGAACACCCACTTGTTTGCACTGATTCTTGCTATGCTTGCATGACTGTGGAATAATTTGTTTCTAATAATTGGTAATAGGAGCGAGTGAGGCATTCCTCATCTGCAGAGGTATATTTTGGTAGCAATTGGTACTTGCCAACAAGTTTAATATTTCGGAGGACTGTAAAGCCAAGGAAGCTGCTGATCCCTTTTTCATGTACGTAGGGCACAAACTGTTGTCAGACAGTCAGCATGTTGCCCTGTGGATTTTCACAGTTCCTGAGAAAACAGTCGTGCTCACTGATGTCTTGCAGCTCAGTTTCAAAGCAGTTCTCCTCTCACTTTCATTATGTTTGTGTTCTGTGGTGCAGACAGAGAAGAGTCTGAAAGATAGTGGCATATTGATAAGGTATTGATAGGTGACATTACAAATCACAGCAGTGTTCTGTGGAAGTCTTCCCTGCTGTTCTGTTGTGCTTTTTCTCTGACCAGACACGTTATGTACGTGCATATTTGGGCTCCAGATGGTCTGGGAGTTGTACTTGCTTTCTGTGTATTAGCTAATTTTTTTTAAATTTCTCTTTTGATTGATTGCCCTTAGCTCTAGGAGAAGTTATTGGCAATCTAACAGCTGCATCAATGGTTGCTTACTAGAAATAGTGTATTCTTTCCAGGCTGCTGTTATCTTTTGTGCTGACTGGGATTTGAGGATAACCACCTGAACTAACTTTCTGTTCAGAAATGTAGAGCCTCCAAGTGATCACCTTCAAACGGCCAATTAAAACTGTTAAAGTTTGGTAAACCATGAACATCATTAAATACAGCTTTACACTGCAAAGCACCTGAAAAGACAGACAGTAGTTCCACAGATATCACAGTAGGTGCAGTTAAATGGATTCGTTTCCCTAGTTGACGTCAACAGGTGACAGTCCAAAACAAAAGTTAATTTTTACAGACAGTATCGAGTTCAGTGCTGTTTTCCTGAAAGCCCTAAAATTCTGTGACTAAAAATAAAAATGAGTTGCAAGAAGTTATTGTTCACTTCTCAAACAACTTTGACAGTGATGTCAGCATTTCTTTTTTCTAATCATTTGTCTGAGACTGCCCCAGTTAAATACATCAGAATCACTGCATCCTTGAAGTTCCTTGCTCAGTCTCATCTTTGAATAGCATAAATGCATGAGCTGTAACCACTGGTTAGGGTCACGGTTTTTTGTTAGCATGCTTTTCCTTTTTAAAGAGAGCTTTGTATACAGGTTTGTCTGTATTTGCTAGGAATGCATAAGGACGTGACAGCATCTGTTTCTGTCTCTGCTAGCATTTTTGTTCTTTCATTTATAGTGTAACCTGACATAATTACACAGCCAAGGAGTGGCCATCGCTGCCAGCATGCCTGGTTATCAGGCTCTCACACTAGGAATAAAACGCCAACAAGCACCAACAAATGTAAAACCTTGCCTGATTAGGGAGCTAATCTGTATTCTTCAGAGAAGATCATCTCCTACTTTGCTGAGCAGTGAACCACAGGTCTTTAAAACATAAAAAGAGAGCGCTTGGTAAATTATTTGTAGTTTCTCAAGCATGGAATAAACGGTCTTGTAGAGGTGGGCTTCTCTGGGGTGGTTGCAGATTATGGGAAGTAAGTTTTCTGTTTAACTCTAGCACAGCGTTCAAGGCTTCTCCACCATGTCCCTCTGACAGCTCTGCCATGTAGCCATTGCCAGTGTGTTTGACAGCTATGTATTATATGTGGATCAACCCCTTTTTCTTCCCAAATTATGCAGTATTGCTGTTAATTCTCGTGAAGAAGCCCCACGGCTGTTAATGATTCCATGGAGACATAATTTGATCTATGGGATTCTACCCTTTCCCATGTCAACATAATGCAATTTATGTTATTGTTTCTTTCGTTGAGCTAACTTTTAGATGGATTTGCTGCTTGAACTTGTTCTGCCTGGTACTGAACTCCCATGCCCACATAGTGGTAATAAGTGTAAGCTCTGACTTCACAATTAGAAAACACTGAGACAGAACAGTGGCTAGTGTTGATTGATTGGCTTATTTTGACACCGTTGTGATAGGAAAACCTCTGCTTGTTTCAGTTTCTCTCTTTAAAAAACACTTCTGGATTGGCCCTCCAAAAATATTCTTACAAGTGGAAATATTTGAGGAAATTCTTCCGAATGAGTTCTATTGCTGAGCAGCATCTCCAGACTTACTTCCAGCTGCCGCCTTTTCTAGCAATTAATTTATTTATCTAGCAAAGAAGTCCAGTTACGCAAAGGTGAGAGGTGGCATTTGTTGTAGCAGCCCGGAGGTAACTGTGCCCACGTGCTGGTGGTGTGCTTTAGTGGAAAGCAGGAAGCACAGAAGTTTTTTCTTCCCTGTCCGCCATGCAGGTGGCACAGTGGGACGGCTCCTCGCTGTCTCCCTGAGCTCTCTAGGCTATGGCACTGGCTGCAGCTCTCCTCCAGCCCATTTCTTTACTCTGTGTGCTGAGTGTGGTGTAAGCCTTGTGGTGCTCTATCGCTATTTCAGTTGGTGTGAGCTAGAGATACCGTTGGCTGCTGTGCAAGTGTTCCTGGTGTGCTGAAGTGACAAGGTGTTAATGAAACTGGCAGCTAGAAAGCCTTACATGGAGGCAGAATGGGCACAGAAGTGTTTACTGCTAAGCTTATGGCCTCCTTACTTTGTTACTTATGCTTATTACTTTGTTGGGGCTGACAGAACTTGTTTCCATTACTGTTGGATTTCATTCCTTTTTTTCCTTTCTTTCAGTGAGTACTGTGTAGTCTGCTGTCAAAGATGGTGAAGCTGGATATACACACACTGGCTCATCACCTCAAGCAGGAACGACTGTATGTAAACTCAGAAAAGCAACTTATTCAGAGGCTGAATGCAGACGTGTTGAAGACAGCTGAAAAGCTGTACCGCACAGCGTGGATTTCCAAGCAGCAACGGATTAACTTGGACAGACTGATCATAACAAGGTGACTTGGAGGGGTGGTGGCCCTGGGGAGAACAGATACCTGAACTTCTGTGAATTGCAGCAAAACTACCAGATTTTTCACACTGTCGCTCTTTAGAGTCCTTTGCTGTACTAATTACAAAAATAGCACTTTTTAAAAACGAATCTAAACTGAGGTATCTGACTCACCAGAGACTTGTTTGTTGTCTGCTTAAACTACCATCTTTCTAATGTGCGTATTTGCTTTGCTGCTCTTTGTGGTTTATGGGAACAAACTGTTCTTATTCCTGAATTTGGAAATCATTTGGGTTTATATGGAAGGACATCTTTTGTGTGAACAGATTGGCTATGTGACATCTGGTAAATTTGTTTGCTTAAGAGTTTACTTAGAGTGTTTCAATGTTTTTCTTTAAGTGCGGAAGCTTCTCCTGCTGAATGCTGTCAGCATGCTAAAATCTTGGAGGATACACAGTTTGTGGATGGATATAAGCAGTTGGGATTTCAGGAGACTGCTTATGGAGAGTTCCTAAACAGATTGAGAGAGAACCCTAGGCTTATCGCGTCCTGTCTGGTTGCTGGAGAGAAGCTCAACCAGGACAACACCCAGAGTGTCATTCACACAGTCTTTACCTCCATTTATGGAAACTGCATCATGCAGGAGGATGAGAGCTACCTCCTGCAGGTCCTTCGTTACTTGATCGAATTTGAACTTAAGGAAAGTGACAACCCTCGGCGGCTGTTGAGACGAGGCACTTGTGCGTTCAGCATCTTATTCAAACTTTTCTCTGAAGGACTTTTTTCTGCAAAACTCTTTCTTACTGCAACCTTACATGAGCCGATCATGCAGCTTCTGGTTGAAGATGAAGATCACCTGGAAACTGATCCAAACAAATTAATTGAGAGATTCTCTCCAGTCCAACAGGAAAAGTTGTTTGGAGAGAAAGGCACAGAAAAATTTAAGCAAAGAGTCCAAGAAATGGTTGACTCCAATGAGGCGAAGCTGGTGACGTTGGTGAACAAATTCATTGGCTATCTGAAACAAAATACGTACTGTTTTCCACATAGCTTGCGATGGATCGTGTCACAAATGTACAAAACGCTCTCGTGTGTAGACAGACTGGAGGTTGGGGAGGTCAGAGCAATGTGCACAGACCTCCTTCTAGCATGTTTCATCTGTCCTGCAATTGTCAATCCAGAACAGTATGGGATAATTTCTGATGCACCTATAAACGAAGTGGCGAGATTTAATCTGATGCAGGTATGACTCATTTTGAACTGGTCTAAAAAAGACACGGAGAGAAATGTTCGTGGTGTTTTGTTTCTGCTGCAGCAGGTGGTATCATGAAAAGATAGAGCACTGTTCATCCTATAGATAAGACAAATGCTAATATAATGCTTGTGTCGTCATTGCCCTGGAGGCATGCTTTAAAGTTAATGTGCCTGTTTGCTTAAAATATTGACTTTAAAAGCGCTGTAGAATGCATTCCTTTCTCTCTTAACAGAAGTGGCAAATACACCTTAGGAGAGCTGCTCCCAAGGAGTGGAAGCTGCAGTTACATTTATGCTTTAAGATGAATTCTGGAGGGTGTGTAAAGTAACATTGTATTATGCCAAAAAATGTTGTCAGGCAGCAGTGAGCAGTTTGTCTGCCAGTAGCACCTCCTGTTTTTTTAGACCTTAAGACATTCGCTAGCCCTAGTGAGAAATATTTGTGTAAATCTCAAATAATTTGATGACAGAATATAGACCTGTTGCCTGATGACATTAAGCATCATTACATTTAGTGGAGGATATTCCCCACACGTAATCAGCCTGCTTTTAAATGTCTGTGAACTGGACAATAAGTGATTCCTACAGAAAATTACTGTGGTGAATTTTACTCACTGCATTTTACTAACAGGCCTTGCAGTGTTTTTTGGAGATACGTAAGTAATCTTGTCCAGTGTTGCTGCCTGCAGGTTGTAGCAGAGCTTGCAATTGGCAACTCTTTAAAACTGAGAGTGGTTTGCATTTGGTGATTAATAAGGATTATTTTCTCTGGCCTGGAGTTGGCTTTCTTCCTATTTTTTTCCTCCAGCTTTCACTTAATGAAGAATATACAGCCATTCAGAATGTCTAGGTTTGAGATGTGAGAACTGAGAGTTGAAGCTAGGTTATGTTGTGAAAACAAATATGCTTTGTTCTTAGGCTGGAATTATGGACACACATAGTACACTGTGCATGCAGATTTTCTACCTAAATACCACAACTACTTTTGGTTTTTATTATTTGTAAAATGGAGGAATTGTCCTAACTGATTGTTATAGCAGGGTCCACCTTCATGTTGTTTTGAAATGCTTATTCCTCATAGTTCATCTCTTTCCAGGTTGGGAGACTTCTGCAGCAGTTGGCAATGACAGGTTCTGAGGAGGGAGATCCACGTACGAAGAGCAACCTTGCTAAATTCGACAAAGTAAGAGTGAGCTAAAAGGAGCCAGGACTCCTGGATGTGCTTCATCCTTCTGCAGCTTCTTTGTTCAGACATTGCAAATGACTTGCTAAGCAGTTGATTTATGTGCTACCTGTACTGAAAAGCAGATTAAATCCTACGTAGAGCTGGGAACAAAATCTTGAGTACTAGATTCAGGGATTCTCAATTCTGGCATTATGCTGCTTTTCAAAAGGAAATGTAGAAAAGACATCAAAGCAAGTTAACCTTTTCAAGTGGAAACTCTGAGTTGCTGTCTGTGTTTTTCTTCTGAAGCTAAAGAAAAAACTCAGATCTGCAGACGACTTTTGTGTAAAATCTAGCATTGGAAAAAGTAATTTGGTAGCACAAGGAAGTGGTGTTCTTTTCTTGCTTTTTTTGTTCTCCTTTTCCCCTGTTAGTGTCAGTACTCCATAGCAATTCTGCAGTTACTTCATTAGAACAGTGAAATGAATGCAGCAGTAAATCAAAACCTGTACTTAAAAAAAAAACACGTTGATTTATGTAACTTGATGATTTTTGCTAATTACAATTGTGTGTCATTGCTACGAACTTACACATCTATTATACGAGTAACAGGTTAGAAAGTGATGCTGCACGATGCTTCCTTGTTTCACTTCTAGTCTGTGCTCAGCACTTTTGTTAGGACAGATTGTTTGCCTTAAGCAGTGTAATTCCTATTGAAAATCTGAACACTGCAATGAAACACACGAGCTACCATTTTTGAATGCGGGAAAGATCAGAAGGAAGTACTAAAAGTCCCTGCAGGCTTTCCTTACCTTACTTTCAGTGGTTTTAATGACACATGGTATTTTATCCTGAAATCTTAAAAATAGGAAGCAAAGCTTATATTACTATGTAAAATATTTAGCTCTTGTGTTAGTGAACTGAAGTTCTTTTTAATCTCTGGTCAATGGTCTTTGTTTCCAAACTTCTTCCCTTGTAGAGCTGTGTTGCAGCTTTCCTGGATGTCGTTATTGATGGGCGTGCAGTTGAAACTCCTCCCATGTCTTCTGTCAACCTTCTGGAGGGGCTGAGTAGAACAGTGGTTTACATGACGTACAGCCAGCTAACTACTCTGGTAATCTCTTAAGCTTTTAAATAGAAGTAAAATAAACTTGCCCCATATGTTTACAGGTAGTTGATAAGCAGGGCTCTGCAATTCTTAACAACACAATTTCTAAATTTGCAGGTCGGTTTCATGCGAAATGTAATGTTGAGTGATCAACTTAAGGAAGATCGGATGGCTTTGGAAAACTTGCTAGCAAACTTACCCCAGAACAAACCAGGGAAAAGCAGCAGCCTAGAAATGACGCCGTACAATACCCCACAGCTCTCTCCTGCAACTACTCCAGCTAACAAAAAAAATCGATTACCGATAGGTAAGGACAGCAAACAGTCGTCTTGCACGCTTTTTGATACCACAATGCATTTTTCTTTAACATTTTTTCAGTGCTCTTTTAGGCGTACTCTTTAGCTGCACCTTCAGTTCTACTTTTCATGTGCAGGTGGTGAAGTATTTTGTTTTGCACAGACAGGCATCTGTAGTACTTTGTGATGCAAGCACAGGGAGCGTCTCCACTCTGGATTGAGCTGGAGAAAAACGCTGACGTCGCTGTTGTTCAGGATAGTGCAAAGGGTAATAATGGGAAAACTTGAAGATGGGAAGTTTGCTGAGGAAAGTGGTAAGATGGAAGCTCTGACACTTCATTAGTGGGACAGAATAAAATTAAAATGATTGAGTCTTAGAAGAGAGCTGATGTAAGAAGGAAGAAGAAGGAGTCGAACTTTCAGGGAGTGCGTTAAGAAGAAACTGCCTCTTTTCTTCTCCATTATCTGCCTGGTATGTGGTAGTACACTGTAATGCAGTTTTAGGTTGTTGGTTTTTTTCCCCCCTCTTTCAATAGCATTTCTGAATCTTGAACTTTTTCCATTTTGGTAATGTTTTCTGTTAGAATAGGAAGTGTGATGCTCTTCTCTGGTGTATATTAATGTGGGTATGACCTCATGGGATGTTTTTGTTCATTTGAGAGAGTTGGTGTTAGTTTGTAGTGGGATCCAACTATCCAGAGCCAGCTAAGAGGCACAGGAACTCAAACCCCCAAACAGACCTATCCCATGTCATTTTTACTCTGCATCTGGATGGCTCTACTCTTAAATCTATGAAGTATTGGCACAATAGCATTTATTTTATAGCATAAAATAGTGTCGTTGCTCAAAATTTTGATCTGTTTTGTTTCATTTTAATGCTTTCGAAATCCAGGACAGCAATTGGCAGCCATTACTGCCTGGGATACCTCTGCTACCAATCTTTCAGCTCATATAACTCTAGTAACCCCTTTTGGTGGGTAATGCCTTCCTTCCGTTCTTTTCTGTGAAGCTTTTATTTGTAACACGATCGTGATAGCTCAGCATGCCTTTGGTTCACTTTGGCACTTGGTTACTTTTTCAGATTTTTCACTGATTTCTGTATGAAGCTCGTTTTGTATGTACATGTAGTTTTAAAAAAACAGCAAACCTTAGGTGTGTTTGTGTAATAATTTAAAACCAAAGTTTGGCCTGTTAGTTCTGCACACTCGTCTTGTTTTTCCTAGATGGAATCAAGCAATGGCTGGTGTCATGCTACCATACTTAGCAGCCTTGATTCCACGTGGGCATTTTTCCTTTCTCAGTGCCAAACAGGGGAAATGAGGCTACATGAAAAGGCTGATAAAGAGCCATGAAACAGTCCAACACCTGGTGTTGAATCTTTGCATCTGTGTTTCGGACAACTGCTTGAGTCACTTTTCTCTGCTTCTTAGGAGAAAAATTGCTCAACAAATTACAGTTTTAAGCCACAGGAATCTTGTCCTTTTCTGTTGGTCACAGACTTCTTAATGTTCTCCACTAACTTTCTAAGAGTCATTTTGTGATTGGAACACACAATCTGACAAATGCAGAATCTGTTTTTCAAGAGATCTATTTGTTTGGTTTTGGGAACTTTTCAATTTTTCCCCCATTTGTTTAGACCAGAGTCAGACTGTTGTGAGGATACGTGGTTTTTCTAGGTTGTGGGCATGTATGACTGCTAGTTATACTTGAGGTAACTTCTGAGATCCCTTTCAGTTACATGGATGAAATAGTCTTGTTAACAAACCCAGTGCAGATGACTTATTCCCACCTCCAATTGCAGCTGCTAAACAGCTCTTCTGTGGCTGCTGGGGTAAATCTGCTGCTACTACTTGGTTTTATTTTGTATTTTCATGTCAGAAGGTTGGGCCATTGGAAGTTACTGAAATCGGTGCTGATCTTTGGTGTAGAAATTTTTGTGGGCAAGCAGGATGTATTGTACCTTGTATCTCTAAGGCGTTCTGTAAAAGATTGCTTTTCCACACATCAGTACTCGATTTCTGAAGGCTAGCTCCTTCTCAAATTCTAGTGAGGCTCTGCATTTTATAAGTTTGTTAGTATGCATGTTACCAATTGAAAACATTGCAGTTCTGTATTTTCATTGTATTGTCTCTTTTTTTTTTCCTTCTTAAACAAGGAAAAGCTTTCTAATGTTGATATTTCAAAATACTTTCTTAGCAACTCGTAGCAGAAGTAGGTCAAATATTCTCATGGATCAGCATGGGGATCATGAAGGGTCCTCCCAGGAAACCATCCCAGAAGTTCAGCCGGAAGAAGTGCTGGTGATTTCTTTGGGAGCTGGACCACAGATTACTCCAGGAATGATGTCAGAAAATGAGGTATGCAATGCCATCAAAGCTCAGATATTTTGAAAAATGTGGCCTCTGTGTTCTGTAGTAGCAGGACAATGAACCTGTGGCACTTGAGTTTGGGCAACAAATCCAGGACAGGAATTAAAGTACTCACTTTGTTTTGTTTGTTTGCCTTACTGAGCTTGGGTATTTTAGCTGTTAATCCTCCCTGTGTTTAGAAGTTGTTTTCCGACAACTTCATACATCTGCAAGGTCTGAAAGTCAGTATATTAACACAGGAAAAATGCAGCTGGCAGATTTATCAAGAGGCTTTGTTGTCTAACATGCTCAAGAGCAAACCAGGCCTGCATAAATTAATTCCATTACCTCCCCATGTCCTTTGCCTCGAGTGGCATAGGTGAATGACAGCACTGGAATGCTGATCCCAAAGTTTTTGGCAACTCAAACTTGCGTCACACCTGATAGGTTGGATTATTTCCTCTTGCAGCCTTGTGTAACCATGAGTTTACATGTTAGGCTGGACAGCCAGGGTGAGGAGGGAGCTACTGATTCTGCTGTTAGCAGGATTTGCCTTGTGTTCACATATTGGTTACCTTGTGTTTTTTCCAGGCTCTTGGGAGGTAACTTTATTTTTTTCAAGTGGAATGTTAGAAAATTGATTGTACCATTAGCATCTAGGAAAAAAAAGAAGGTGTGCAAAAATGTATGCAATGTTTTGTTTACTGTGTAATTATCAGGAAAGAAAGAGATTATTTTAAGGAAGTATTGTTTCATTCCCCTACTCCCCAGGTCCTAAATATGCAGCTTGCAGATGGTGGACAAGGAGATGTCCCTGTTGATGAAAACAAACTCCATGGTAAACCTGATAAAACCTTGCGCTTTTCACTCTGCAGTGATAATCTGGAAGGAATATCTGAAGGTGAAGGGTTACTTAAGTCTTGAAGAAGTTTTGTCCCTTTTTTTTTTTTTTTAACTATGAAAGGAATTTCTGTTAAACATAGCATGTCATCTCTGCTGTTCAAAGATCATGCTGTGTTACTCTAGGAGCTTTTCTTTTCTGTTAGTCCTTTGGAGAAAAAGGTTAGGAACCGAATTTTGACCAGCAAAGACGTAACTTAGTCTGAGGATTATGGCAAAAAGAAGCGTATTTAAGAGATGAAAGCAGAGGGATTTTGAAGGCTTTTTCACGATCTTTTAATTAACTATTACATATCTCTGAGTCCAGAATGGTTTCTGGACTCAGAGCTGTTCTTCTGTATGAGTCTCAGACAGAACAAAGCAGGGTTTATCTGTGGTTTTGAAGAAGTATGTACAAATTCTGCAGTGGGCATTATTTTGTATAACTTCTGTCACATAGTTTTTACTCTTCTCAAAATAAGCAAACAAGCTAATGAACAATTAAACGTGTTATATTGATGTCTTTACTGACTTTTAGTCAAAGTGGCAATGGTAGAGATTCTAGCCTTCTCTGGTAACGTATTTTTAGGTTCTTGTAATCATATGGTCCTCTATGCATGTAAAGTACAAATCACAGTGCAGGTTAAGTATCTAAAAGGTAGACATTAAGAGCAGAGAAACAGTTTATCAGTTTGATATTTTATATTGGGATTACTACTTAATTTCTCTTCATTGTTTGTATTAATCTTCATTGTCTCCTCTATTGTTAATCCTGTATATTTAGGAACTGGTATTCAAATCAGATTTACAATAAAATATTTTTTTCACAGGTCCTTCAAATCGCTCCAACTCAGTGTCCTCTTTGGATTTGGAAGGGGAGTCTGTATCAGAGCTTGGTGCAGGTCCCTCTGGGAGTAATGGTGTTGAAGCTCTGCAGCTGCTGGAGCACGAACAAGGCAGGTGCAAGTTCCTGTGGTGCTGTGGGTGGGAAAGTTCTGTGGAAAAAGATTGAGAAATTGACTAGTTGGGGATGAAAATAAGTAAATGCTCACCTTGTACAATCAGTTTTGTATTTATTTTTATTTGGATTTTTTTGTTGTTGCTGTTTTGTTTTCCTCTAGGAACATTTCTTGTAGTTCATAGGAAAAGAAGAATGTATGGGATTTTGAGACTTAAGTCCTTCATAGGAAAATGCATTTAAAGTTTTGCTTGGTACTTAACTTTCCCTTCAAGGGAATAGGGGGTCTGGTTTGGAGTAGTCTTAGAGCATCTGGCTAGCTTATTTTTAGCATGTATTTGTCAGACTCTGGGGTGGGATGCTCAGAGGGGTTTTGGAGTCTCCAGCTCCATTTTCAAAATGTGATTTTCAAAATGTGACTGATACGGCCTCGAGCCAACCTGCAATTAACCGTGTTTTGAGTAGAGGGGTTTGGACTTCAGTTACCCCTTCCAGCCTCAGCAGTTCTGTAAGAAGTTCTTTTTATAGGAACTGCCTGAAGTTTCCTGATAGCGTGTTAGTTTTATCTATTTGTTTGTTAGTTTATGCCACCAAATGTAGTCCAAGATTTTTCTTAGCTTCAAATACACTTCAGTGCTTTTAGGCACCATTCTCTTGTATAAGAGTACTTCACGAGTGTTACTTTTAAATGCTGTCTTATCTGGTGGAATCAGTTGGTGTTAGCTTTTTTTTTTCCTTTAATGTTCTCCTATAAACTTCCAATTAGAAGTAGTTGGAGGGGCCTTTCAAAAAACTCAGTTCTTCTTATTTTCATATAGCCACAACTCAGGATAATCTTGATGACAAGCTCCGTAAATTTGAAATCCGTGATATGATGGGGTTGACTGATGACAGAGATATATCAGAAACTGTGAGTGAAACTTGGAGTACAGATGTCTTGGGTAGTGACTTCGATCCAAATATTGACGAAGATCGTTTACAAGAAATTGCAGGTAACTCAGTTCTGTAACTCAGTTCTGCACCTGATATGTTAAAATGTTCCATGCTTGTCGTAAAATGGTCAAGTTGCAAAGCTCTTCTCATCTCTTTTCTGAATAAGCGTTTGCATTCATTAAAGAAAGACTTTTCTATAGGAAGACTTTGCACATGACCTGTATAGCATCTGGTCACTCATTTCTGTATTTACAATATTCTTTCTGTAGTACCTTAAGGACGCTTGAACTGTCTTATTTTTCTCTTGCATTAGATCTGTCTTCAGGAAGCATATATGCCACTGTGCATTTCTGCTTTACTCTTGCAGGTGCAGCTGCAGAGAACATGCTAGGCAGCTTGCTGTGTTTACCAGGTTCAGGATCCGCGTTGCTTGATCCTTGCACAGGTTCAACCATCTCAGAAACCACAAGTGAGGCTTGGAGTGTGGAAGTATTACCAAGCGATTCAGGTCAGAATTGTGTAATTTGTGCTTATTTCTTTAGTGGGAACATTCAACAGCATTGCCTTAATGTTTGTGAATACTTTTAGTATTAGAAGGATGAAGTATTCCTAGGCAGAGAGACTCTTACTTACGAAGTTCTTAAGTTCTAAAAAAAGAGAGAAAAGGGTTTGCAAAGCAAAATTCTATTTGCTTCCTTTTCCAGTGATGCTAAGTAGTGCTTTCTTTGATCACAATTCATTTTAGTTATGTTGTATACCGCTGTCTGGGTAATACAATGCTTAAGTAAAAACTTGCCAAGTGCTTATGCTGCTGGGGCATTGCTATCTTGCTGAATTGGTTCAGTTAGCTTAAAACCTAGTATGCTAAATCAAGCCCCCCACTCTTCCTTCTGTGGGTGAATTTCAAGGGAGCCCGGCATTGAGTAGTGATACTTTTTTCTCTCTTCTCTCTGTTGTCTCCATTTGTAGAAGCCCCAGATCTAAAACAGGAGGAAAGGCTGCAAGAACTGGAAAGCTGTTCTGGGCTGGGTAGCACATCAGATGACACAGATGTAAGGGAGGTCAGTTCTCGACCCAGTACACCAGGCCTCAGTGTTGTATCAGGTGGGTTTAATTGTCTCTGAACACACATCTCTGTATTAGAACACAACCAGCATCTACTTTGCTGCCATTGCTTTAATTGAATGAGAAAAATGAGTGATAACTCCATGTACTCATTCATGAATTATCAAAGCAGTAGTTCTTACGAAAGAAATAATTAAAAAAAAAGTGTATCAAATAATCTGTGTTACAGTAGCAATGGTTAGCAGCAGAGTGTTGATTTGGCCTTTGTTTATTACAATGACTTTAAGTACGTTTATCTATATATATATATATACATACACATACTTCAGCTCCCAGTTTTCCACAGAGTTGATCAGAATGAAGCATCTTTCTAATGCCAATTTTCAGTGTATTCAAAGCTATGTTAAAACTATTGAAGACATAAAGCAGAAATAATTAAGGCTTATGCTGGGAACACAGAAATTTAGAATGTCTCTAAGTACTACTGTAAGTTAGGACTTGATTATTACTGTGCTTACCAAACATTTTAGGAGCTTCAGGATTTTGCCTCCTTTTGTCTGAAAGAGCATTAAAGGTGTTCTTTTTTTGTTTTCTTTTTTTTTGTTGTTGTTACGTGGAAGGTATTAGTGCAACATCTGAAGATATTCCTAACAAGATTGAGGATCTCAGGTCTGAATGTAGCTCTGACTTTGGGGGAAAAGATTCTGTGACAAGTCCTGATATGGATGAAACAGCCCATGGTAAGTAAGATACCTGTAAGTGGGTTCTCACAACATTAGTTAAAATTACAAGTTTAAAATCCTTAAATTTGAGTTCTTATAGGAGTGCAGTAGAAGCTCTGAAAATAAAAGAAAAATCCCTCAATTTTTCCTGTTTCAAAGCTTTGCTGACCATGAAGCTTAACGTTTTCCTGATTTGTTAGCACCGTTTCTTTGACAGAGAGGCCAGTATTGTGTACAACTAGAGACTGATCTTTCAATTTAAGATCACCTTTTGCTAATTCTGTTTATTTACACTGACTGTAATCCCTCTTGCTCATTGGGATTGGTCTGTTTTTCCAGTGTTCCTTATGTGTAGGCAGTTCTTTGCACAGTGCTAACTTTTGTTTGCCTGTATTTCAGGAGCCAGTCAGTTGACATCTCCTCCTTCTCAGACAGATTCTTTGCTTGCACTGTTTGACCCTTTGTCATCGAATGAGGGTAAGCTGGAAAGAAAAGGCCAAAAATTGGCAGTCAGTACTTCTGTGCTAGTATCAACTTATTTCAGTGAATGTTAAAAATGTTGTGGCTTCCTTTATGTTTATTACCTCAGGTGTGTCAGCTGTTGTACGGCCTAAAGTACATTATGCAAGACCGTCTCACCCACCACCAGACCCACCAATTTTGGAAGGAGCTGTGGGAGGTAATGAGGCTCGATTACCAAACTTTGGGTCTCATGCTTTAATTCCAACTGATTTAGAAGCGTTCAAGCAGAGGCACTCTTATCCGGAAAGGCTGGTCCGCAGCAGGAGTTCGGATATAGTGTCATCAGTTCGGAGACCTATGAGTGATCCTGGGTGGAACAGACGTCCTGGTAATGAGGAGAGGGAGCTTCCAGCCCCGGGGGCAGCTGTTCTGATGGCTACATCCCAGTCATCGTCGTCATCTCCCAGTAAGGACTCCTCTAGAGGAGAGGTGAGGCTCCTATCTATCACTTGCTGGTTTTTTTTTCCCTGGTGTGCCAAATATAATTATTTTTCTCATGCCAGAGAAAAATGGTGTTAAATGTGTTTAACCAAGGAATTATGATACACTTTTTTTAAAATAGTCCTTTACAAGTGAAATCTACAGGTGTTCAGAGTGACTTAAATATGCCTGGTTCCTCTTAAATGTACTGGAAAAGCTCCATGTGACTTAATGGGATTTGAGAAATAGTTTGGTCGTATTGTTAAAATTTAAAATGCTGTAGATCCTAAGAAACAATTTTAAAAAATATCTAAATTTCTTCACAGTTTTGGCTTTTCATACTTAATCTTACCTTTTCAGGAGGGGTGTTTCTAACTTGGTCTGCTCTGGCTTTCCGTGCTCTGCTGTAGTTCTGTTTTTGTTTTTTTTGTTGTTGGTTTTTTTTTTCAGTTGATAGAGTAGAACCTGTAGATGTCAAGAGGAAATTCTGTCCTTACATGTGATATGTGATATTGAAATATAAATTCCATTCTTCCACAGATGGATGAGCGAAAAGACAGCGATGATGAGAAGTCTGACAGAAACAAACCGTGGTGGAGAAAACGCTTTGTGTCTGCCATGCCCAAAGGTAGGATCTTGTCTGTCTTGTTTGGGTACCTTAGGGCATGCTGCCTTTTTGTATCTTCACTGGAAAATGTTTACCGTTTCACTTTGAGCAGCTTATCAGACTGACATCGGGTAACATACAGTTACCATGTATTTTTCAGCTCCAATTCCATTTAGAAAGAAAGAAAAGCAGGAAAAAGACAAAGATGATATGGTACCTGACAGATACTCAACACTACAAGGTATGTGAATAATGTTATCGTAGTAATTTTCTCTTGTAACATGCCCTGTAGATTTCCAGAGTGCCCATTAGGTGTGTATTTACAGACAGGTATGGGCTGTTGTATTTAATATTCACCACTAGTTTTCTGAATAAGAAAATGAATGATGATTGTTGCCTTGAAGACTGCTTTTAAATTGTCATACTTCAGTCAATATCAGTTGTACTGGAATCTTGACTCAGGTCTCCACTTATTTATTTTTTAGAATGTTCATTAAAAAGCTTATGTCCTTATCACAGCTGAGCTGTAAGGACAGCAGACACATTCCTATGGTAATTCCTTAAGTGCTAAATTAAATTTGATTTGGACCTGGGTGTTTAGTTTTGTTTCCATAGTCATTTCTGGAGGCTTTCAAGTATACAAGAATCACTGGTGTATATGATATAAATATGCTAACAATCTGATTTTATTTGCTCACTTTTATAGTGCTTTTTTTTTCCTCCTGCTTTTGCTTTGGACTTTATATTTGAACTGTAGTTATGCGGAATGCAAGTAGCTGTTTGTAATGGCTAGAATCTGAATGCATGGGTGTAAATTTTTTTGCATCTTGCTTTCCGTTGGCATAACCCGAGGTTTACTCCTTTTGTTTATAATGACTTTCCAGATGATCCGAGCCCAAGGCTCAGCGCTCAGGCTCAAGCTGCAGAAGATATTCTGGACAAATACAGGAATGCAATTAAGCGAACCAGTCCTAGTGAAGGAGCTTTAGTAAACTATGACAGTGGAGGTGAGAACCTGATGTCTGTAGTCCTTACCAACATAGTTTCTCCCTCTTAAAGATAAAAAAAAAACACTTCAGTGTTCTAGACAAACATAGTGCTAACAGTGTAATAGTGTGAGCTCTAAAACAGAAATGTTTTCTCATACAACCTGTGGTGTAGTTCCTCTGAGACTGGGAATGAAATCCATGTTCCTGAAAGGGGTCATCTGTGTTGCCACTGAGGTGGTGATTTGTTACATCTCTTACCAGTTTGCTTTTTTTAAAATGGAAACTGAAGAAGTGTATTTGCTCACAGTTTGCCTTAAACTGATGCAGTTTCTTCTTAGGGACTTGCAGATGGCGTGTTTTAATATGACCTTTCAACTTAGACAGATTGTCTTACTTACTGTCTCTATATTTCCTCTTACACTAACAAGAACGAAACAGAAGATATTAATCTAGGTTCTTCTGACTCCACAAGTGTCACTTTTCCTTTTCATAGAGACTACAGGGGATGGTGAGAGTGTCCACGACTCTCCACGTGATGAGGCTTTGCAAAACATGTCTGCAGATGATCTCCCAGACTCTGCAAGTCAAGTAGCTCAGCCACAAAGTTCTGCTTTCTCCTATAGGTAAATACACTTTCAAATTTAGTCTTACCCACAAAGAAGATTTGAAAGCTGAAGCCATGTGATCAGTTCCCCACAAAAAATATTAATGTGAATAATGATGTCCTCCTTAATTGTAAACTTCTACATGTTTTCGGTTTTAAGCATCTCAAACTGTTGTTTCTCCAGTGAGGTGGGAGGGGGATAGGAGAACAATGTTTAGGAAAATTCCTGTGAAACTGGTCTAGATGGTATATCTAAAGAAGGGATCCTCTTCCATCTTGACAACACTGGTATGCTCAAGTTATGTTACATAATGTTTGGTCAGTATTTTAAAAAGAAAAAAAATGTGGATTGCTTTATGAAGCAGCAGTCTTCACAGCAGCCTTGTTAAGGAAATGTTTTTTTTTTCTTTAAGGGATGCAAAGAAGAAATTGAGGTTGGCTCTCTGTTCAGCAGATTCTGTTGCTTTTCCAATGTTGACACATTCAACGAGGAATGGTTTACCAGATCACACAGATCCTGAAGGTAAGTTTTCTTTATACATGCAGAAGTTTTGTATTGTATGCATCTTCTCTTTTCTGTTGCCTACTAAATCTGGTTCCCACAATAACGTGCTGTTGGGAAGTACCTACAGTAGCAAGATATTGGCTTGAAGACTTGCTGAGTCTTCTGTTTGACTTAATTTGTATGACTTGTTTGCATTCCTCCACTAGAGGTTTATTTGCAGACAGGTGAATCTATCTCCTTATATTCCTCTTTACATTTCAGAGTAGTTCTCAATACTAGATAAGGTAATGATAGAAAAACGTATTCCTTGATATCTGGAAGATTCAGAGACTTAATAAATGCTTCTATGCAGAAGTTTTTGTTTAAGCTGTTGCGTGTGTGTTTCCTATGTTGAAGAACATTTTTCTGTTTTGATTGTGCCTATGTTTCGTTTCCTTAATAATTTTCCCTTATTCTGTGTTAGACAATGAAATTGTGTGCTTCTTGAAAGTTCAGCTAGCTGAAGCTATTAACCTTCAAGACAAGAACTTGATGGCCCAGCTGCAGGAAACAATGCGATGTGTGAGCCGCTTTGATAACAGGACCTGTCGGAAGCTGCTAGCCTCTATTGCAGAGGACTACAGGTAGTTTATTCTGTATCTTATTAATGGGTTTCCAAATGCATACATTTGTTCACTAGCAGATTAGAAAGATCCTTTATTTAAACTGTACCTTACCAAATAAGTTTATTACAGTTCTACTTTTCCACAAAACAATGAGGTTGTGTCCTCTTTCTGGGAATGACTTGTACTAAATAGTAATAAATTGAATTAAATCAGCTTGTGGCTGATATCCAGCTCCACACCCAAAGAGATGCAGTTCAGAATTTGCTTTAGTTGTGCATTCTGCAGTGCTGCAAGGGCAGTGAAGTCTGTGTAAGACTGAACTTCCTAATTCAGGTGTTATCTTTGTTTTAAAAGCAACAGGTTGAGGACTCTTCTTGCGTTACAGCTTTGCAGTTTATAAAGCTATTATTTTCTTTCTTTTCTGTGAATCTAACGTAGAACATTTCTTTCAGGAAAAGAGCTCCATATATTGCTTATTTAACTCGATGTCGCCAGGGCCTGCAGACAACACAGGCACACTTGGAAAGGCTATTGCAAAGAGTTCTGCGAGACAAAGAGGTGGCCAACAGATACTTCACTACAGTGTGTGTGAGGTTACTGCTAGAGAGCAAAGAAAAGAAAATCAGGGAGTTTATTCAAGGTAAGATTAATGCAGACCGTGGATTATTTTTGTTTCTGCACTCCTTACTTATGTACTAACGTGGGTGCCAAAGATACAGAAACGTCACAGCATAAAGAATATTGGCACAGAAAGACAACTCTCAAAACAAGGTTTCTTGAAATAATTTCTGTGTTACATATGCACAAAGTAAAGATGAAATAAAGGTATAAGAAATTTGGAGTCAGTTCTTGCTCTTGGAGCATACAGTGTTAATACAGCATACAGTATTAAATGTGTCTATATAGGCTGGTCTTTAGCAAGAATTTGTATCTACTGACATTAAAGTTCTACTAGTAAGATTCAGTGACCAAGGAAGAGGAGTTAAGCCCTTTCATTGGACTAAAGGGAGGCATCTATTTCTGGATGATCTAAAAGAGAAATTGGCAACTGTGGCATTTAGGCTGCTGGCAGATGTTGTTGAGTGGCAGTTGTCTTCTGGTACAGAATGCTATAAATACGATGCTGATGAGTTGCCAGTGATTTGGTCATGCTGCATTAACTTGGCTGTGCCACTTGTTCTGTACTTTGTAGATAAACATTAACGTTGCAACTATACTTATTTAATAAAGGTAGGGCTAAAAAATGAGTTTTCTTGATTCTTTTTTTTTTTTTTTTCTCTGGCATCTGACAGCCTTGCATGCACTCATTCCTACCAGCAACTGTTGTAGTGATTATTCTGGGTGTTATCTCTGTGGGTGGCAAGAACTGGTACTGTAGAGGAAGTGATTAACATAGTATCAAGTAGGGTATTGTGAGGGTATGCTTAACTGACCGTGTTCTACATTCTTCTCCTTTAATTCCTGTATTCAAATGCTCTCGCTTGAATTTCCCTGACCAGGCTGTGGGCAGCACAGAGCCCCGGTGGTGCCAGGCGAGAAGTACAGCGTGGATTCTCAGCTCTTATTTCCAATAAGCTTTCCTGGAAAGATTTTTTTTTTTAACCTTAACTGAATATGTTTTCTTTTTACATTTTTATCAGATTTCCAGAAACTTACGGCAGCAGATGACAAAACAGCCCAAGTTGAAGATTTTCTTCAGTTCTTATATGGAGCAATGGCTCAGGATGCCATATGGCAGAATGCCAGCGAAGAACAGCTTCAGGATGCACAGTTAGCTATAGAGCGCAGCGTGATGAATCGTATTTTCAAACTTGCGTTCTACCCTAATCAGGATGGAGATATTTTACGTGACCAGTAAGTCATGGTGGTTTGAAATACCTGGTTTCTCTTTCACTATTGGTGCAGATGGCTGCTTTTTGGTCTTAATGTGACAGACTTGATTCTTTTAAGGCAACCATGCCCTACAAACTTATGTTTCATTTCAGAATGTCTTGTACAAGAACCGAGAAGCACTTTAGCATCATGTGTGAAGGTTTGTGTTTGCAATAGTCCACAAAAGCAGAATAAAGTTAAAAATGTAATGACTTAAGGTGCAGACCTTCAGTTCTGTGCACATGCTAAGAGAACGAATAAAATCTGTTTCAGGACTCCTTTTTCCTTTTCTGTTTCAGGACAGTACTTTTCATCTAGGGTTTCTTTTGTATTTTATTGAGCATCTTTTTTGAATGGTTTACTGACTTCATAGTTGATTGTTTGGAAATCCTGTGTGTGGTTTATTGACCCGCTGTGCATTGGCTGAGATCGTGGTGATACGCATCCCTGAAGATCTCTCCTGTAGTGCACCAAACTAGTGGGAAACTCCTGGGGACTGCTGGCTGCTGCTTGCTTCTTATTCTTGATTTTATGTTTGTTTTTAGGGTCCTTCATGAGCACATACAGAGGTTATCTAAAGTGGTGACTGCAAACCACAAAGCGCTTCAGATTCCTGAGGTAAGAACTTCTTTCCTTCACTCTGTACGTTGGAGTGATGGTGTTTGTGATAGGGAGAGGATTGTTTTGCTTTACATTTTGAAACGTTACTTTTGTAGCCATACAGCTGAAATACCCTGCAGGGAAAACACACTGCACCAATACTTTGGGATCATCTGCTGATATTTTAAAATCCTTTTTTTTTCTTCTTTGAATTTTACCACTTCTGTCCTGATGATAAGATTGAAGCAGTAATACTATACTGCAATAAGATGCAAACTTTCAGATAATTTCCTTTGGAATAAAGATTTCAACCCTTTATATTTCTAACATGACTTATATGCTGTGACTGCGGTTTGTAGTTATCAAATTGGTGTTCAGAACTAGGCATCATTAATGGAACCTTGACACATCTATCCATTTGCCTGGTGTTTTCACTTTTCTCAGCGCTAAGAAGGTAATTAAATTAGATTGGTAGACTTAAGAAATGTGTGAGTGGCTGAATACTTGCAGTCATTCTAGTTCAGTGTTTGAGCTGTGTGACTGAAAATGGCAAACATTCATAAAGCTGCTTATATATGGAAGACAGGCATACAGCTCTACATTGTTTCAAAACAGGGTATTGTAGAAGTCAGGAGAAAGTACAGTCTAACTATGTTAATTGCACGTAGTGTTATTTCCTTGTGATTTTCCATTATAATACAGCAGGAAGCCACCTTTGTTCTGCCTGCAGTGGAACCATATTGACCCGGAGTTTCTCATTTGTCCGGAGCCTGGCTCCTGCCTCTGGTACCTTGGATCCTCTGGTGCTCAGTAGCAGCACAGATAACTGAGGCCTGCTGTTGGGTTTCTCTCTCCTAGGTGTATCTCCGGGAGGCACCGTGGCCATCGGCACAGTCTGAAATCCGTACCATAAGTGCTTACAAAACCCCCCGAGACAAAGTGCAGTGCATCCTGCGAATGTGCTCAACCATTATGAACCTGCTTAGCCTGGCAAATGAAGATTCAGTGCCTGGGGCAGATGATTTTGTTCCTGTTCTGGTCTTTGTTCTTATAAAGGTGAGTTCTTCTGCAAAGATCACAAACCACAACTAATTTTTTTACCAAGCAGGCAAATTTCAGGAAAAATGATAATGCATTTGGGTAGGTAGGAGCATGCTAGACTATAAAAGGAGAGCTAATCCAGCAGGCTTAAATAGAAATGTGGTCACAACTAAGATTTTAGAATCCAAGCAAACTTTGCAGTTGGAACCAGGGAAATTGAGGGCTGAGCATTGTTTGGAGGGGTGGTGGTGGTTTTCATTGTTGATCTTTGGGGTGGTTGTTTCTTTCTTTCTTTCTTTTTTGAGACGCACCTATCACTTGTTCATGCTTAATGTTGTTCTCTTTGATGACCAACATCCACATTAATACTGACTTGCTTTTTTTTTTTTTTTTTGAAAGTTTGGAGAATGGCATGTGATGTATAAAATGCTAAAATAACAGGTTAACGTGCTGAAGTCTGTGATGACTTGATAGGTTCTGCCTGTGATCTCCTTCTTTTCATGGCCTGCCTGTCGTTTTTCTGCATTAGAGAAATGCTCCTTCCATTCCTCCCGAGGGGGGAAGCGAGGGTGCTCAGGATAAACAGTCACTGCCCTGCGCTGTGTTACATGGTCATGTGCTGGGTGGTAGTGAGGATCACTGCAGAAATAGAACTGTACTTTTATTCTGTACCTTGTAATTCTGAGTTTAGGTTTGGCAACAAACTGTAAGTGTCTTTTTCTTCTTTAACCCTCAGGCAAATCCACCTTGCTTGCTGTCCACTGTTCAGTACATAAGTAGTTTCTATGCCAACTGCTTATCTGGAGAAGAGTCCTACTGGTGGATGCAGTTCACAGCAGCAGTTGAATTCATTAAAACTATTGATGATCGCAAGTAACTCAGCACATACATGGGCAGACTGTTAGCAGAAGAGTCTGTAAGAATGTACAACAGCTGTGACAGCTAAGAAGAGACTTCCATTGTATAATATTGTACAGAATTGAGGCATTTTAAAACACACCTTTACTAATCAAATTAATTTAACAGATTTTCCTCTTCTCTTTCGGTTGCATTTTTCTCCCCTGCAGATACTGGCACTGAAAAAGGGACCACAGTTTTCAGGTATTTTGGAATCTCAAAACATACAGAAAAGTCTTTGTGGTTTTTCCACCACCCCTCTTCCTGAATTCTTACTCACGTGAATAATTCACTTCATTTCTAACGGAACACTGAAACAAGAATAATCAGGGCAACCACTCAGTGTACTTTCTAGCTCAATACACCTTTTATTAATAAAGCACCAGCCACACTGAAAGTTTGTAGTAGGTGACATTAGTTACCAATTGTATTTCACCTAAATTGAAAATCAGAGAGGACAATGTAAATAGTATATAACTGTATTTAATGCATCGCAGCTATCTGTGGACTCACTGTCCTTTGAGTGAACGAGCAAAAGCCTCTCTGACCTCTAACAGGTTGTTACATACTGTGCTTTGGTAAGTGAAAGGACTTCCTCAAAAAGGCAAAGAGTAAAAAAGGGCAAATGGAACTATTTATTAAAATGTAATTAAGAGTACTGAAATTTCTGAAACTGGAATTTATAATAGACAGGGCTTGTTAGATAGCTGAACACTTTTTGGCTGGGGCATTAGGGCACTATAAGGGTTTGAATATGTAAAGGAGAGAGGGTCTGTAAGTTACAGTAGATAAGCCTAATATAAAAGAGGAGTAATAAAATACCTTACTGTAATATTTTTTTCTGAAATATTGTGTATACTGTACAAACCCCAAACAGAGATCCTTAACAGAACCTCGGGCTGTAATATATATTTTGATTAGTGACATTAAATGCATATACCAGGGGTTTCAGTGAATGTTTTTACTAAATGTTCTTCATGTTGTCTGCTATGCAGCAGTGCAAGTTTTACTGTTCATATAAAATATTTTAAAATGTAACACTGTTCTTTATGAAACATATCATGACATCAGTTCAGGGTGTTTTATAGATTTCCCACCTCACCTTTCCCTTAAACTGACGACGATGAATTCAAAGAAGTTTTTATGCACAATACCACGCGGATTTTTCATGAACAGTCTGAGTGATGGCCAGTGGTTGTCACGTGTATACAAGCAATTGCTGTTCTTTTTTAGCTACAATTACACTGAAAAAGGGCAGTGAGCCTTTATCTTTTTCATGTCAGTATTATTCTTTGCTCTTCCTGGAGTGTGGAGTGCACTTCTGACAGAAGGGCACGGTAAGATGTGGTGTCTGAGTGGTAAAGGAAAGAAAATCCTTCTCATGTTCTTTGCAAAATACACTTGTTTTGGTTTTGTGAATGTGTGCATCCTGAAGATTAAAACCCATACACAGCTAGTACTCCAGAAAATAATTTGGTTAACTGAAATTAGAACAGAGTATGCAAACTGTCATGTGCTTGGTTTGGCTGTGCTGCTTGTCAAGGCATCATTAAAGAAACTTCTTTACTAGGACTCTTCTAATACGTAATTCGGTGTGGCGCTTTTGCCAAGCTAATCCGAAGTGAGAGTGAGGAATGGGAACTTTTATTTAGAGCCTTTCTGCTCTGAGAGATTCATTCTGTGGAGGAGCAACACTCGATAGAAATGGAATTCCTTTGATTGCCTTCCTGCGGTAACTCAGTGTGGAGCATTGCAATATTCCAGTTATTTAGCCTTGATGGGTTATTGGTGCTGAACACGTAACTTAATATTGCAAGCACAGCCCTGACCAATAACACCCAGAAGCAAAGCACAAATATGCCCTGGAAGGTATGGCGAGATCATCTCTAAAAGCAATATAAACTTATTTATAGTGAAGTCTCCTTAATATTTAATTATGACTTGGGTATCGGATGTTAAGACCAGTGTATGAAAGTTCCTTTAGTCCTGCAGTTTGGGTTTTAGTTGAGGAGAATATCTGATCCCTAAATTGGTCTTGTTCTGCACTGTACTCGTTTAAAGGATGGCACAAGGACTGGTGATCGCTGCCCTCTGCCTGCTGGCAGATGGGCTCTGCTCAGCACCGCCACGGCTTTCAGATTTGCTCTCCTTCACGGAAGGGGTAAGAACCATTTCCTTTGCCATCTTCATTACACTGTGTAGAAAAATACTTACTTAAAAGAACTGGAGTCATTCTAAAAATTTATTTTAAAAGCAGTGTTTGTTTTGACGTGCCCCAGATTAGCTGAGAGTCTTCATGGCAAAATTGTCCTTTGCTTTTTTTCTTAAACAGCTTTGAAAGTTCCTTAGGTCGCATTGCTAGCCGTAGTTAGAGAATTAGGGTTTCCAAAGAATTAAAAACCTTCCTGTAGTATGACATTAATACTTTCCCTGGTGTCCTGTAACGTTTTATTTTAGAACGATGAATTAAATGTGTAGAAAGTGATGTTAGATTTTGGTGTGCAATGGTGAATGTGAAAAGACAGCGCATAAAGGACCAAAAGTGACAACTTGCCAAAAGGTGCCGGCCAACCACGTGCACCCGACTCTGTGAACTTGGTGCTCTCTTCAAATGCCTTCAACAACTGAAGGGTGAATGGGACGCTCTGAGGGAAAAGGCACGGGGTCAGTAGCAGTAGCTTGCATTGGTCGGCTCGAGGGCAGCTTGTTGTGTGTCCCGAGGAGCTGCCGAGGTAAACGGTGCCACGACTGTCCCTGCTGGTGCTGCTAAGGTGGTGCTAAGGTGGTGGTTTCATTGTTTTGGGAGGAGAAGTGGAAGAAAAGGGCTGGTCCTTTCATCCCTGAGAAATTACTTTTTTTTACTCTTAAGAATTCTCTTTCAGGCTTTTGTAGATCCTCTTTAAGGAGAGTTGGAGTGGGTGTGGCCTATTTGAGTTCAGAGGTTTTCGTTTTGAAGACCTTATGCTACCAAACGCTGAATGTAACTGCCATAAATTTCAGGAAAAAAAGCCACGATCCTGTTTCCTGTGTTGGGTTTCTGGTGAGCACAGTGTTGGTTTGTATTGCTGGAAAATGTTGATGCTCTTTAAGCCAAATTGGAGCAGAGGTTTGAGAACTCACGGCTGCTTTCAAACTGCAGTGTGTGTGGAGGAAGGCTGGTGGGGCAGACAAGGAGCAGCAGGAGAGGGCAGACCTGCTTAGCAGCAAAGATTCAAGCAAGTGAAGCATGTGTGTGTGAAATCGAGTGTAACTTATGTGGCCGCGTGCAGCACCGACTGTGCAGCCTCAGGCTGGCAGCAGGACAGAGAGCTGGAGCAGCAGGACGGGGCGGGCAGCTCTGAGCCGGGAACAGCTGGTGCCTTGGTTGAGCCTGTACTACTGGAGAATTAACCTCTGCTGAGTGCGTAGTGTGTGTTCTGTACCTTTTAATTGTGCTTTACCTCTATTTAAAAGCTTTGTACTGCCTCTCCTATTTGAAACTGGTAAAGCCTTTATACGTCTAAATGAGCGAGCTTGCACAATCTTGTATACAGGAAACCCATCTTGTCTCTAACGTGATTATTCATGTATTATTCTGTAAAAACTGATTAAAAGGAGAGCAGTTGGCCTGGCTGGAGTCCGTGTTTGTGCGCTGTGCCCGGGGGGCTGCGTGGGGACCGCGGGCAGCGCCCCGCGCTCTGCTGCCGTACCGCTCCACGGAGCTGCGCCGGGAGCTCGGCCTGACGGCCAGAGCGGGAAGAAGCCGGCTGTGCGCTGCGGGGCAGCGCTGCCCGTCGGTGGGAGCGTCCCGCGGTCGCCGTTCTCAGTGCGGGCAGCGGGCCGGAAACGGCGCCTGAAAGCGCTCTGCCACGCGCGATCCCTTTTTCAGCTTTGGGAAAATGGCAGAATTGAATTATTACGCGTTCTCGGGCGGAGGGTTGGGTCCGGAACCGCAGAACCCCGCGCGTGCCTTGGCCCCGGAGCAGCAGGCACAGCGCGACGCCACGCGCTTGCCTGCCCGGCCCTCCGCACGGAACGCAGCGCGCGGCGCCCGGGCCCTCGGCGGGCGGAGGCCGCGTTCGGGCGGAGCTGCCCCCTGGCGGCCGCGCGGGGCGGTGCGGCACGGCTCCACGGGCGACACGGCGGCGCTGCCCCCGCCCGGCCCGGCGCGGTACCCCTGCGGCGCAGCCCCGGGAGCGGAGCGGGGTCGGCTCTGCCGCCCGGTGCGGCCGCTGCGCGCGGGGCCGCAGTGAATGCGGTCCCTGCAGTGTTATTGACCTTGATTCTCTCTCATTTGCATCCGGCATTTTTCATCCTCTGGAATATGGTGTTTGGGGACCTTTCCATCATTAAGTGGATTTACAGCAATTTCCTTATGTGTTTTCTCCAAGGGATTCTGTTATGAGAGGCACATTAAATCTCCATTAATACCTCATTATCCGACTGATAAGATTACCATGATAATGAGGCAGAAATTCTAATTGTTTCACTTCTTATTGTGCCTTTCATTAAATCATATACCTGGAAGTTGCTGTCGGAGCGAGGAGCTGCAGCCCCCGGCTGGGAGCCCATTCCTGTGTGCTGCACCCAGACCGCAGCCCCGGGGATGTTGGCATGTGGGGATCCCCGGCCTCCTCCTGCTGCTACTCGCCTATGGCTGCTGGGCTGCACGAGGCCGGTGCCCACGTGGCTGGGTGAGCACTGCAGGGCAGTGTGGCAGGGCTCACACAGACCCACAGCTGCCAGGCTGCAGGATTTGGGCTCTGGTGATGTTGGCAGCTCCTCTCCGTCAGCGCCCTTCTGCGCCAGTAGCTGCAGCGCTCTCCCCAAGGCTCAGGCGAGGGCCCTGTCCCTGGCAATTGCCCTCCCATGGGCCCAGCATGCCCTCGGTTCCTGCTCATGTGCCAGGGCCCTGGTTTCGTGCTGCTCTGTCCTGAGGGCTTCCAGGTGCAGGGGTGTACAGCGTGTCACAGCCTCCTTTGAGCTGTTACAGCCCATCAGGTCAATGATCCATGAACTAAAAAGTCTCTAAGCAGGAGCAATTATTGTCTATCATGTGTCAAAGGCGCCTGTATTGACCCCGATAGATGGAGCCATTATGGCCTGTTGAGTCAACGATCCATGAACCTCCGTCCCTGGGAGTAGAGGTCCTGCCTCACTGTGCTGGCACGACTTGTCCCAGCACAGCCTGTCGCCTCATGGCCAGACCCTGTGCGTCCTGTCCCCCCAGATGAGCCACGTGCTCTGGGCACTCAGGTCTTTCCTAGGCTTGGCGCTGTGTCTAGGTGGCGGATCCTGCCTTGCTGGGCAGTTCCTTTTGTCTCACTGGGAGCCTCGGCAGGTTGTGGTGGCTGTGGGAACAAGGATGGAGAGATGGAGCCCCGGCCAGGTTTTGGTGCCCCTGCCTGCGTTGCTCACGTCTGGATCTGCAGCAGCAAACAGCGTTATCCCGCACAAGTGGACTTTGTTAGGCTCCTCCCGCACTAACGAGGCGACGTCTCCATAGTAACTGGCGCATTTGGAGGGCAGGAGGCGCACGGGAGACAAAGCCCGTGCAGGAGCGGCGGCAGAGCTCGCTGAACCCGGCCCAGCAGAGGCGATGCCCCCCCGTGGTGCTGCTCTGGCCCTCGCTGCGGGACTGTGAGGAGCTGGGTGTGATGGTGCAGCCCTGGAGCTTGTTGTGGCCACGCGGCAGCGGGACGATGGCTGTGGCTGGGCGAGGTCGTGGCACCGATCTGCCGAGCTGGAGCTGCCCGCGTGCCTGTGGGCTGGCTGTGCTGCGGCTGCGGGGCCAGGCGCGTGTGGGGCTGGCAGGGCTGTGCCGTGTTCCCTGCCCTGCCGGCAGTCTGGCCACGTCCCCGTGTCGCCGGCAGAGCCACTGGGCTGGGGTTAATCAACATTCATTCATGTTTCCAAGTGTAAATTGAGCATTTGTTTAATTACGTGTAAGTAGCAATACATTCTGGCCATTATCTAAATCACTATTTTATTTCCTGGATGTGGTTTCATAATGCTGGGTTTGTGCTCCAGCCTCTGCATCATTAACAGAGAAGAGTTAATGAATATAAAAGCGTAAAGGCTAATTACACTTTAATTTACAATCACGGTCTCATTTTGGGACCACATGAAATCTGTTTTGAAAACAATTAAAAAAAAAATCCCTGTGAAGGTCTGTCTGGTGAGCAGCGGGGTTTTGGCACGCAGTGAGCGGTGCCAGCGGCAGGGCCTGGTGCCCGGTGTGCGGCGCTGGGGCTGCGCGGGGCCAGGAGCTGCCGTGGGCACAGAGAGGAGAGGAACGTAAAGCCGAGCCTGAGCGGAGAGCACGGTTCACCTGAAGGAGACAAAGATTTATAGGGCTGCAGATGTTGAAAGCAAAATTCAGCGGGACTGCTGACTCAAGCACTTTGCCATCTTTACAATTACGGGAGATATAATGGCGTGCTTCGCGGGAGCAGGGCTGGAGCATTGGCACCCAGATATTGCGTGGTAACGCAATCTGAAATTGAAGCTCACAGCAGGAGAGGTGAAGGAGAGCAGCTTTGGACTCCGCTTCTGCTGTGACACCTACAGGGGTTGCCCTTGTGCATGGTGTGCATCTGTGGGTGCACACCTCCACTGCCACGGTGGTGCTGAACGAACATCTCTATATTTCCTTCATTGTTCTGGTTGCCTCAAAAATGAAATAAAAACAGAACACTGACTTCAGGAGGAAGCGGGGCCTGTTCTCTGTGCTGGGCTGGCTGCCCGCAGAGGAAATAAATCTCCCCGGGAAAACCACTTTGCTCTCACAATTTCAATCCAGCAGGGCACAGTGGCATCACTCACTTCTTGTTTTATTTAGCTGATACTCCCTTACTGGGCCAGGAGAGCTCTGTGGAAGCACAGTGCTGCCCCAGGGCTGTGGGCAGTGATGCCCGTGGGCAGGTCTGTGCCTGGCTGCACCCTGGACAAGGGCAGGTTGTGTCCTGCTGCTCCCAGGCAGTTCTGGAGGCAGTTCTGGGCCATCTGCTCAGAGCTTAGAGGACTCAGCACTCCATGATGGCCCAGAGACTCTGCAAATGCCTCTCCAGGTGATGGATATGCTGAGCCCTGGATTGGTGGGCTCTGCCAACACTGGGGCACCGTACGTGGCAATGAGTTGCTGAGCCCAGCGCCAGGCCATCCCTGCTGCTCTCCCCCTCCTGGCACCAGAGCTGCATGCAGCTGAAACCCTTCTGAGTCCCTCAGACAGGTTTGTCATCCGCTTGTCACTGAGCAGCAAGGCCGTGTCACTAATGAACATATCCAGTGCTCTGAGTGCCTGCAGTCGCTAATTGAAAGCATTCACAATTGGGAATTAATGTGGGTTAGGCACAGTTGCTGCACTAATAAAGATTTGCCTTTCAAAAGCCTCTGTCTGCTGCAGGCGGCAGTGTGGCGGAGTGGCACTACTGGCCATGTGGCACCACAGCGCGCAGCGCCCCGGCCGTGTCCTGCAGCAGGCAGTGCTGCTGCACGGTGCCCCTGCTCTGCAGACAGCCTGTGCCCTCCAACAGCAGCTGCAGCTGAGGCGGCTGCTCTGCACACTGCAGGCCTGCAGGCACACAGTGGCACCGGTAGCTGCAGATCTCCCATTACGTTGCTCTGGAATGGGGAAATGTCCCATCTCTGCCGGTGCCTGGTCCTCCTCCTCCTGTCCTAGTGTTACCTGTGATGATTCCGTATTTACTTCAGATCATGGAGGGAGATGCAGAATATCACCATTTGATGACGATTCCCCATTGACAGCCGCTTTCTGAGAGCTGTCAGTCACTGTGTTCCTAATCCTTTTAATGTGTGCTCTATTGATATTACATAGAGCTAATTTTTTAATCAAAACGTCATGTGCTATTAAATCAAACGCCTAACAGGACCTGCATGTACTGCTGCTCCTCAGTTACTTTGTTACTTACACTTCTAAATTCAGAGAGCAGACCCAAATTTTTTGACAAGCTGTGGTTATCTGTGAGCTGCGCCAGCAGCACTGCCTTTCTGCAGGGACAGAATCTGTGCTCAGCTCCTCAGCTGCACTCTGCGGCACCGGCGTTGGCCGGAGGGGATCGGCCAAACCCCCACAGCCCAGCACTGGCATCCGGGGGCACCGTGGGGGCCCTCAGTGCTGCAGTACTGCACTGCATGCCACGGTCTTCTGCTCCGTGGGACCAGCAGTCCCAGGTGGACGTCTGCAGTGCGATGGATCCTGAGGGCTGTGAGGACCGCGTGTCCCTTGTGGGCAGGAGGTGCCCAGCAGGCGGTGTGTTCCTGGGATGGGGACACATACCCCGGTGCCATATGGCATGACCCAGCCATGGGGACATGGGGCTGGGTGGTGGTGTGGCCCTGCTGCCACCTGTGCTGGGCGAGGAGCGGGGCCAGGGCACTTCACGGTTAACGGCTTGGTGGGGAAATGGGAATTTTCCTCCTGTATTGGATGCAGCCTCTGACCTGAAAACAACCAATCCAGCCTCTCCTGGACTTGGAGCACGAACAGGCGTGCAAATGCGAGATGACAGCCCACGGCACACCAATATGGTTACCAGCTGTCCGGCTGCCATGGACCGCGCTGTTCTGGACACAGGTGCAGCCGGGGAGGGGGCGTGAGAGGCAGAGAGGGGCAGG